AGCGTGTGGATTTTGGTCAGCCCAGACATGTGTGTTATGAATATTGAAAATTCATCTACCAAATGTTAATTTGGCATCATAGTCTTATGAATTGAGTGCTTATACACGCTGAAGGTGGTTGAAGAGATAGAGTAACTGTTCCTCCCTTCAAATAGGGGGTGCAGTGCAATGCTACTTCCAGACATTCTCAGATAATACAGATACAGATCTAGATCTTCCAAGGTCGATTAAGTTTTACCAACTTCTCCCCTGTTCCGAAGCCGTTGATGAAGTGTGCTGAATATTCGAGAAGAAGAAACTGGACAATTGGAATAAACTTCAGCATGCAGACAACGAGTTTCAAGTCCATTGTCATTGGCACGTCCATACAGAAAACGCATGTCCATCATTTCTGCACTGGTGTACAGATTGTATTTGTATTGCGCAAAAAACGATGACGACTCCCTTGAATCTCCTACCTTCAGTTGCACCAAATACTATTTTTTTTTAAACCTCAGTGATTTAGGAGTCCGCCTCCTGAATTATTTCGCCATATTCAAATCACACGCCGATGTATTAGGTAATACCAAATTTGAATTTTACCAAATATAACCGAAACCATTTGGAAGATATAAACAAAACTAGATTTTTTATTTATTTTAAAACTATCTATATACTAATATGAACTTTTTGAAAAATGAAAAGAGCAGAAAATTTTGCATCCGAATATGACATTGACCATGACCTCAAGGGCAATTCAAGGTCAAATATTGATTTTTACTGTAATTTCGTATTTTTAACTACGGAATCAGAAGGAGCGACAGCCTGTGAGTAGACGATGGTACTCGTTAGTGAGGTGAGGTCAATGTTCGATAGAACATGTCAAGGTCATACCGGTTTTTGGTGTAGCGACCCCTTATTTCGGTGCTAGAAATAAGAGAGCGGAGAATTCTACATGTTATGGTGATCTTCAACGTGACCTTAAGGTCAATGGTCAACGTCAGGTAGAGGTGAAGTGATTATTCCTGCTGTCATTTTTTATTTTCGACGATGAAATAGAATTTTTTAGTGACTTCAAGATCAAGATCACTAAGGAGTACCATCAGGTATCTACTCACTCTTGATTCCGTAGTTAAAAATAAAACATTACAGTAACAATCAGCAATTGACCTTGAACTGACCTTGACCATTGACCTTGTTGTCACGGTCAATGTCATATTCGGTGTCATATTCCTGCGGCGTCATGGTTTTTAATTTTTCAGCCAATATGATCAAATTGTTTTAATAAAATAATCAAAGATCTAGGTGATAAGGATATCTTATGCGAGTAATACGTTTCTTTTGCTTTTTTTGTTATTTAATGAGGACATATTTTAATGTAAAAATTTCTACTCTGATAGTAACGCCATTAGTAAGTTACATCTTCAATGTTTTAACTATTAAAGAGTACCTATTAAGTGAAAACCTCGTCTGGAATTTTTAAAACTTTATATTCAATAATTTAAATATTTTTGAAGGTATAAATATTGATCAATTTTGGAAATAACATGCTTGTTATATAATAAAAAAAGGCATATATTACTGCACCGCACTCTTGTAAACTTTTTTATTGTTGCTTTCAAGAAAAGGTTATTCTTCATAAAAAGTTTTGCTTATCTTGAGAAGCCAGGAGCAGTAATCAAATATGTAATAAAACGTACAGGGTGCCCAAAAAAATTCAAAATATGAAGTTTTACTTAAGAAAAGTGCCTTTAATTTTTATTTTCATTAAAAACTGTATTTAACAAAGTTGTTCGAAAACTCAAGAAAAGCTCATATGCGGGGTTTAGTCAAAAAAAGAAGAATAATCACATTTTGCCAATAAGAAGACGCAATTTTTAACTATCGGATTTAAAGCAGACAAAAATTGGGGAAAAAATAAGTAAACTTTTATTTTAAATTTAATATAATAAGTTTAGGTTTTTTGACGTTTCGAGAGACATACCACTCTCTTCCTCAGAAGTAACTGAACACCCTGTATGTTTTATCACATATTCGATTACTGTCCATAGCTTCCCAAGGTAAGCAAAACTTACATTTTCTGTCATCATCCTATATAAGCATTTCGGCCTATTATGCCAACTGTTAGACGTTTCATAACTCCATTTTTTACACAGTCGTCTATATTTTAAAAAATATGATTAAATATTAAATTTGCTGTAACATATGAAGCACTACTAGAATACAACCGCTCTCATCCATTTCGATATTGCTGATGAATTATTCAACACTGCAATATTCCAATACCATTACATATTACATCGACGGCAATTATTTATTTTGCTACTTACTAAAATAACTTGAACAATCTGTTTCGAAAATCAATGGTTTTTAGACACTTAGTTTTTATTAAGGCTTTTTGATCTAAAATTATTTAATCAACAACCTCCTGAATATGACGAAGACTTAAAAACATCATTTATAAAGGTGAATCAAATTAGGCACTTTTGAAAGTGTAGTATAACAACCCTAGGTTCGATAAAAAAAACGTAGTTGTGGCCAAAAACATGTGATCGTCATAAAGAATACCTACGTTGTGTGTATCTATTTTTATATTGACCGGAAGGCGCTGGCTACTAACTTTCTTTGAGGGGATGTATGGTTTAATTTTATAAAACAAAAGCAGAGTAAATACACCTAACTTTATTATTTACATACAACAATATTCAAATTAAACATGTGACAAATAGAAAGAACAACAAAAACATTAACAACCATTTAACATAGAATGAGAGTGCCAGGCTCACCTAGAGCTCCTGTGGGGAAAGAGCATGGCAGAGAAACCCACGATCGTTGCTCTTACCACCCAAATATAAATACAAAACAACCGCTAACCAAAGGCATAAATTAAGATCCTTTGCTGGTGATAAATAAGTCTTGTCTGAATAAGACCTGTCTCAGTTAATGTGTCCCTAAATGTCATCTGTTACCCCCTATTAGTCATACACTTTCAAGTAAAACTGAAGAGGTTTGGTGTTAGTTAGCCGGCAGAGCCGGAAGGTACTGGAGTCCCATACGACGGGAGGCTATCCAGCTAAAGTTGAGATTTGGGAAGATCCTTCTTAACACTGGAGTCCCATACGGGAGGCAATCGAGCTTAATCCAGATTCATTCCGCACGGGAGAAAATGTTAGTAAATTCAACAAGGCTCGTATAGACGTATGACATAAAGTGAGCACAAGAAATCAAAGAACAACATAATCAAGATAAAACAAGTTAAATGTGAAACACAGGAGTTGTTTTTGCAAAATCTGGACAGACACGACAATATATACATAGTTTAACATGTAATAAATAATTAACAATCGTTAATAATAATTGTAACAATTTTATATTAGAAAAATATACGCCCCTAAGTATAAAACAATGAAGGCTAAACATATACAGAATTATTATCATGAAACATCTATGTTTTTCGGACAACGTAACTAGGACAAAAACAAGTTAAATGTGAAACAAAGGAGTCATTATTGAAATGTCTGGACGCCCAAGACAATATATATATTTTAACAAGAAATAAATAATGAGCAATCGTTAATAATAATTATAATAATTTTACCTTAGAAAAATATATGCCCTTGAGCATAAAACAATGGAAGCTAAACATATAAAAAATTATTATCATGAAACATCTATAACCATCACAATCATAAGATTATATAGAACAATTAACAACAAAGTACTTAAAGAATATTACCTGCTAACTAATACCGGTTAATCACTTAATTTTTCACTACTTTGTCACACTACCCGCCGATCGTCTTATTACCCATCTGCACACTGTTCTCACTTCAATTGCCTATCTTCAACTATTTAGGATCTTTCCAGAATTCCCTACCTAGGCGTTTGTTTTTTGTGCTTCCTTCTACCAACCGTCAATATTACTTTTTCATTATTATACAACACCCGTGTAACAGGTGACGTCGAAGTTGATAAGATAAGTACGGTTTTGCACAAAAGCTTTCTATTCTATTTCTCATGGAAATAGACAAAAAGTATAGATAAAGTCACAGTTGAATTTTCGAGAAAAATTAATTGCGAAAACCGCGCCACGATTCTTTTCAGAGTTGATGACGTCATTTGCCTGTCGAAAATCATTAATATTAAAATGAAAATAAAGTTGAGTATCATCGGCATATGCTTGAAATTTACATTGATGAACAGATTCTAATATGTTGGCAGTATAAATTATGAAAAGCAGGGTACCCAGAATCGAGCCCTGAGGAACACCAGAGAGAATTTCTAAACTGGTAGATAAAATATTTTCAACACGTATACTCTGGGATCTTCCATGTAAATAAGATTTGATTAGTGTGAGTGAATCATTATCAAATGCATAATATTTAAGTTTAGAATATAAAGGCTTATGATTTATGGTATCAAAGGCCTTAGAGAAATCCAATAAAGCCAAAACGCTAACCAAACCCATATCATGAGCATTTATTAAGTCATCAGTGACGGTGACTAGGGCAGTCGAAGTACCACTACCCCTTCTGAAACCACATTGCGACTGAGGCAAAAGTCTGTTGCTCGTAAAATAATTATACACTTGATTGTACAAAATTTTTTCAAACATTTTTGAAAGAGTCGGTAATATACTGATTAATTTTAAGATCGGAAAGAGAAGTAGGGTTATTCTTTTTAGGTAAAGGTAAACCAAGCGCCTGTTTCCACATATAAGGAAAGTATTTATCTCTCAATACAGCAGTTAATAATATTTTATCCCAGAAATGATTTATCCAAAAATGAAAGATTTGTATGAAGATGCACACAACTATTTTTTATTACTTGTTTTAATTTTTCAGTTTATTGATTTTAATTTTTGTTTTTTTTTTGTCGTTATTTTCTTATTTTACTTTTCCCATTTCTGCTGTCTAGCGAAAAGCCCACCGAAACCGATACCGCCCGAGAACTGTACGATCGTCCACGAGACTAGACAGAGCATTCAAGTAAAATGTCAAGTTTCCGCCCGAGTTCGGGACAAATCCAGCACGTATCTGATGCAGGTCTACGACGCCAATAGTCGTTTATTGATTGGGACGGCCACTTCCCAAAACCCAGAAGAAATTACAATTGGTAATTTACCCCAAGAGCACGAGGATTTGCTTTTATTTATAAGAACCATGGACGCTAGATCCATCACGAGCGACGCCAATATCATTTACGCCCCAGCCGTCGCTAAAATTAGAACTGGCGGTAAGATTGCTAATGTAGAGCCCTTGTGGCTGGGGTGCAGGTTTTATTTAGTTAGGACTAACACCATCTAGGGTTTGCGAGTCGAAGTAACAACTGCTTTTTGCGAATTTTTAATAACAAGCGCAGATAGTCTCGTCTGGAAGATGGGAATAGTGCTTTCGTATGCCAATTTAGAAATGTGTAGACGAAACAGTGTTGCCAGCTTAGAACGGTAATTAGCATTTTAGGGTAATTTGAAAATACTCGAAAGTAAAATAACAGTTAATTTTTTTTATTAAAAATAGGTTCGAAATTTGTGTACATACTTTCAATTTAATCTCAGACGAAACGCAACACGCAAACAAAATTTCGTATTTTAAAACATACTGTAATTTGCAGTTTGTAGTGTAAGTCACATACAGGGCCTTCATAAATGATTACAAACCACGTGACTCCGAACAGATAACCAGCATTACATGACTGGTACTGTCAACTAAATATCCCTAAATCTTAACAGTCATCAATATTAATGATTCATTCACAATGAACAATAGTCCAGTCATTATAGACATAAAACAACCTGTTTCGGGAAAAAAATACTATTATAAGTTTCTCTGCGGAATATTGTTCGGAAACGTGTTATAAACAAAACATCAAAAAATCAACTCGAGGCTATTTGGGAAACTTTGTTTAAATAATGGTCAAAGTTATGGAAGATTGGTTTTTTGACTCGCGTGAATAAACTATTATTCATAGCGAAAAAAAGTTTATACAAAAAAGGTAGGTATTAAATAATTTCAATTGCTAATAATTAATGCAATTTTTATCGCAGACACTTGTAATTCAGGATTTTTGAGGTTTTTAACACCCTTAATAAGAGGTGAAAATTTCAACCCGAAAGCTTCAATGGTTTGGCGTTGGCGGAATTTGTTATCTAAGAAGATGCTATTTTCGATTCATTTCTCCCAAGCTCAAAGGTGTTGTATAGTTTCGATCATTAGTTGTTTTTGTACCTAAATAGTTATATTAACATATGCATTTACTGAGAATTTAATTTTTCAAATTTAATTTGTTTAAAAATGACTGAAAAAATGTTAATATTTATTAAATTGTTAAGATAGGTAATTATTATAAAATGAAATAGTAACCTCTAATAGTTTAGTTAGTACCATTTTTCTACAAATTTTAAAAACAAAATCGTTGTTCTAAGTTGATCAGAAGCTGAGATAATTTTTTTTTTATTTAATCGCAGTGACCTTAATTATTAATATTAAGAGCCGAAATTTGGCGAGAGTATACATTAAGAGCTATATTTTCATGCCCTACATTAACATTAAGGTAAATTCAACCATTTAATTGCAAAAAAGAGGATAGCGGCGATGCGTTCTATTACTCGGTCTAGCGAACGCGTGGGGAGAGCGAGGCGGAGCATGCGCGCTACGCGCCTGGTTGCGCGCAGGAAAATGATCGAGCGGCTTCAAATCGATGGAGCTAGAAAAATTTGCCACATCTCGGTTAATAATGAACCTATCGAGATGATTCTTTTTTAATTTGTGGTAGCGCGAAAATTCATGAGCATTAAAGCTATTATATTAACATTATTTCAACCCGAGATTTAATTTTTTATTTAGCCTCGCTCTTCCCACTCGTTCGCTAGACCGAGTAATAGAACGCATCGCCGCTATCTTCTTTTTTACAATTAAATAGTTGAATTCACCTTAATGTTAATGTAGGACATGAAAATATAGCTCTTAATGTATACTCTCTCCAAATTTCGGCTCTTAATAATTAAGGACACTGCGATTAAATAAAAAAAAATTGTCTCAGTTTCTAATCAACTGAGACAGCGATTTTTTTTAAATTCGAAGAAAAATAGTACTAACTAAACAATAGACGTCACTATTTCAGTTTATAATAATTACCTATCTTAACAATTTAAAAAATATTAATATTCTTTCAGTCATTTTTAAACAAATTAAATTTGAAAAATTAAATTCTCAATGAATGCATATGTCAATACAACTATTTAGGTACAAAAACAACTAATGATCGAAACTCTACAACGCCTTTGAGCTTGGGAAAAATCAATTGAAAATAGCATCTTCTTAGACAACAAATTCCGCCAACGCCAAATTAATGAAGCTTTCGGGCTGAAATTTTTATCACTTATTAAGGGTGCAAAGACCTTCAAAAATCCTGAATTACAAGTGTCTGCGTTGAAAATTGCATTAATTATTAGCAATTGAAAAAAACGGCCATTTTTGACAATTTATCGGAATTTAATCGGACTTGTCTTATTTTACAGATTTATCTAATACCTACCTTTTTTGTATAAACCTTTTTTCTCTATGATTAACAGTTTTTTTACGCGAGTTAAAAAACCACTTTTCCATAACTTTGACCATTGTTTTAACAAAGTTTCCCAACTAGTCTCGAGTTGATTTTTTGATATTTTGTTTATAACACGTTTCTGAACAATATTCCCCAAAAAAAACTTCTAATAGTATTTTTTTCCCCCCCGAAAAAAGCTATAATGACTGGCCTATTAATAATGGCTGCGTTCAGCGAATGTTTATATTAACTCGATCAAACCTGTCAAGTGAAAAAATTGGCTGTTAAATTGCTTCCTCTCACCAATTAAATATTTGTTTTGTTCGTGTTATTTTCAAACCCGAACCGAAAAGTCTTATCACGCTTTTTTATTAACTTTATTGTTTATTCACATCGCAAGGCATTGAGTTCTTGTATCAAAATTACTGCATAATTCATGGCTGAATGATCTTGACCACATCAGAAGTCACTTTTTAAACTTGTCCAATATTCCCAGTCTGTTTGGACTAACCGACAAAATATTTGTTTACCGACTGAATTTAACCGATCTGATCTTTCGCAGAACGCCACCAATTAAACTGAATTTTTGTGTAATATAGCTTTACAAGGGCGTCGCCAGCCATTGGGCTAGAGGGGGGCAAGATAAGAGAGAGGATGGAAGAAATATAAATTATAAGTAAAAATGTAGGTAGAAATAGTTGCAGTGACTTAATATTCTTTAGAAATATTTTTAATAAAACCTTTTTAATACAAAAAAAAAAACATAAAAGATATACAAATAACTAAAAAAACGAAAATTAGGTAAAACATAATCTCGGATTTTTTGAAAATGTGTCGACCAAGTGGTAATAAAATCTTCATGGTTGTCAAAAATAAGCTTTCTGTGTATACTCATCATTGCTAGACTATTGAGATGATTTTATACCATAGCATTTCTCAGCCAGATTTTTATTATTTTTTTTTTAATTTAAAATTCCAGAGCTAAATTTTTAAAATATGGAAATGTATTACTTTTTAACATTAAATTAAATTCTTTTGTCAACAAATATTTATACTAATTTATTACAATTGCTAAAAAATAAAATAATGTATTAATTTTCAAAATTAAAGTTTAAGTAAATAAAATATTTTATTAAAAATTTCTAATTTCTTTTCTTAGCTTCAGAAAATTTGTGTTTGTACTTTTTCGAATTTATACCTGCCCTCTCCCCCCCCCCCTTTAGCGACGCCCTTGCATCTTTTTAATCTTTATAATAACTAAAAAATAATCTGGGGCTAGGAAATATAGCCGTATACCTCCTAGGGTAAAATATTATGGTATAGCTGGCAACACTGGGGCGAAAGATTTGCTCAGTTTTGGAATTTATCAGGAAATTGTAATTTTTCCCGGTTTATTTCGATTAGGAACTAATCAAAATTGGGCATGTAGAAGTTGTGTTTTAAAAAAATATGTATTCTATTATTAGTCGTTGTATTTTTACTTTTTAAAGACATTAAACCAATTCAAATAAATAAATAAAAATTGTCCAAAAAAATTTGGAAATTTTTTTATAACTAACTATTCATTAGATATTGCTGGTGTCATTCAAAGCTAGTTGGGGCATAGGATAGTTGTTTCCTGCATTATCAGCAGGTAGGAATTTTGTCGGAGAAGTTAAATATTTTTGACACACCTAGATTTCTAGTATCGAAGAACATTATTTAACTTTATTTGGTTTTTTAGAATTTTTTTTTAATTTATTATTTTATTTTTATTTATTTTGAATTAGCTTGATGCCTTTATAATAAAGTAGAAATCCTGTATTTTACATTTCTTTCGAAATGAATTTCTTTAATTTTCATATACACCAAATATCTTCAGAGAGACAAATATTATGATACAAATACTTTTAAAACTGAAAATAATCAAGCATCTATTGCGTATATTTTTAAAAATATTTAAAAAAAATTAAATATACAATTTAAACTGCAATTCTCTTAATTGTGTGATCATTTTGGACAATAATTAGTACATTTTCGCGAGTTTTTTTTATTTTAATTTTAACTTATCTTTGGTAGTTTTCGAGAATTGGACCTCATTGGAAGCGGCTCACTCCGTATTACCGTGACTCATTTCGTAAGAATTGAGAAATATTATTACTTGTCATTTATCCATTTAAATGTAAAAAGTGAGCAAAAAACTGAAAAATGTATTTAATTTTGGATTATGAAAGTTCTTCTTCAAAGTCGTACTTGGTGGACGACTTCAAGTTACACAATTATTTCCGGAACCCGGAATAAAAGAAAAATTATGGCTTCTGTAGTTTAATTATTTAATTCGCCGTTTTGCTGCTAAGATAAGAACGTAATATCCTAGATTTACGCATCGCATTATTAAATTCTTCAGGATTTTACTGAAGTAGGTATATTATATTCTAGCAAGGAAGCAGAGATTTAAATAATTAAAATCTAACCTACTAACACACTTTTCATCGAGTAAGCTATGTAACCTGATAAACTAAAATTTGGACTAATACGGCTTGCTTGATTTCTGCATACTCATCATATTGTTAGACTAGATCCTAATCTAATATATAGTATTTTAAAATAATATTTTGTGAAAATTGTTTTGTGGTGTAACTTCTTGGTTTTATGCCATTCTATTTAATTTTAAATAATAATGTGTAGGTAAATCTAAATTGCAAAAATCACCAGCTGACAATTGACAATCACGTTTTTGTTGTGTCAATTTCGTCCACAAATTGTACCAGTCAAAATTAATGAAGAAAAGGTTAAATATATTGTGATCCAATTCCAATTTCTTACAAAGATAACAGCAGCTTGAAGATGACCTATTTATATCTGCTTTCAACAAATCTAATTGCATTTAAAGGACCAATACCAAATTAAGTACACGTATTTGACTATTAGTGATTCATATTTATAGTCATAAAAAAATGGATTGAATAGAAGCCTCTTGTTCATCGCTTTCTTGTTAAAAATAAATTGCTTTTTTGTCTCTTGAAAGATTTTCACCCTGTACTTGAAAGAGTGATGGTAATTTTGCTAAAGCACATAATTTTCACGAGAATTTTTCACTTAATTATCACCAAAAATAATACAATGTTTCAGAAATATTCATTAACATCTCACCACGATCAGCACAGCTTTCTTTGATGTATTCTGCGTCGTTTATTAAAATTGTTCACTAGATTTTTTTAAGTTACAACACTTTCAAGTTGCAAAACTTGCATTTTCTAGTAAACGGTACATCGACACTTTCTTTATAAAAGTAACTAATGAAAAGTGAATTCCATGCAACTCATTTTTTTCTAATTCTTCGTAAATAGGAAAGAAATGTATAATCAAAAACGTGTTGATACCTTTGGTACTGATACAACTCAAAAATCGTTATCAGCAAATCATCGTCAAACTTCTACATCTTTGGAAGGAGACAATGGAATTTACTCCTAATCTATTTGAACTTTTTGTATAAATTTAGACCAATAAACACACTGTAGAAGTTCGACAGTCTAATTAAGGGACATAGAATTTTGAAGCATAGAATACAAAGTGTCCCTATCTTAGTGATAATTTTAGAAAGCAGATCAAAAGATGAAAACCTAAGCATATATTTTTCCTAATCGCTTCCGTTTCCGATATAAGTATAGCAGTCTCCAGATTTAAATCCTTTGGATTTAATTTTGATGGGACAGATTAAAGAAAAGATTTATTTTAGGTGCCCGATATAAACATTTGCAGAACATTTTTCGAAATCAACAATTTGATTTGCGTGGAATTGCTTTTCCCTAGCTTATAATTCTCTTAAAATATGCCACAAATTTAGGGACACTTTATATACAGGGCGTTTCTGAATTAAGAACATTCCTTGAATAGATTGATAGGACACGAAAACGAACAACTTTTATTAAGCAACTGATGATCTAAATGCTTCTGTTTTCGAGAAAATTAATTAAGAAAATCAACCATAAATGTAAGGCGACCCTGTGCATCTTGTGCACGTGCATTGTGTGTGTATTACTTGACCAGCGTATAAAATATTTATACTTCGTCGTTTGGAAGTAATTCGTTAATTCATTTAATTTTTGTGTTACTTTTAAAAGAGATTTTAATAAATTTTTGAACATAAAATTAAAACCGTCAAAACCGCCATCACCGCTTTCGCACTGCGGTGCGCGGCAGGTACAGCTGGCTGCCGCACCAAAGACGGCTTTAAATTTATTTAAACCTTCATGTGAATTTTTTTTTTTCAATTTAAAAGATCAGTTGTTTCATAAAAGTTGCTTATTTCCATGTCGTTTATTACCGTTTTCAAGGAAAGCACTTATTTCAGAAACACCCTGTATATAATAAAACCTGGATTCCTTTAGAATTACGCATAAAAAACTAATAAACTACTTCCTGGAAAACATCAAAATTTCCATGTGAATTTTTTTTCTTCTACCAAAATTGCTAAAAATGACTAAACTAAGGAACTGATGATGACATCTAACCTAACCTAACTAACTGACTGACTAAAAGTGCGATATGATTGCAATATTTTATTTTGGAAACTTAAAAACTATAATTCTAAACGCCCATAAAATTCCTTAACAGCCAATGGCTGTATGCTATGATTTGATGTTTTATTACAAACTGAAGATGACGCTGTATTTTCAAATAAGTGAAAGGACACTACCCAGTCACCCTTTCACGAAAATATACATAATCCGCCCAATATTTTCCAGCCACCACGCCCGTGCTTCTTCAAATAACCCCCCTACTAGGCGCTCTGATCGGAGTGGTGGCAGCTCTCATCCTGGTGGCCATCATCATCGTGGTGGTCATCCGCCTACGCGGCGGCGGCGACAGGGACGACAAGGACTACGACGACGGAGGATTGTCGTCCTCCGGACGACGATGCGTAGCGGGTAACAGCGACAAGGCCAGTACCGAACCCTTGAACAAGGATCTAAACGACAGTGTCGATAGTTTGGAAGAAAAGAACCCGGATATAATCCCTCAGAACAACGGAGAAGACGAGTACCAGGACGAGGAAAGAGCCTTCGAGAGACTGAATAACGCAGCCACTTTGAGGGTGTATAGCAGGATGCAGAGTCCAAACAGCCAAGCCAAAAATGGGTCCTACGATGGATATGGACCAAAAACAGTAAGTTGGAGCTCTTGCATGTTGGAAAAGTGAATGTTTTTCTATGTGGCAGGTTGAATCTGGCATTTTGAGTCTTTCATGCGGTTGTTTATTGGGAGACTGTTAATAGTATGTTTGGGAATATGGATTACGGAGTTTGCTTTTAATTTTTACAGTGCTATTATGTCATATTATTATGTTTTAGTATTCATGTAAGTATACTCTTGAAAGAGACGAAAAATGTTGGTATTTGAAAATGGCCTTCTGGGTCAAGCCCAACTTGTTTGTGAAACAACATCTGCCATGATTCCAAATCCATAAAGTGTCATTTCTGTATGAGATACCACAAAATGCTGTTTATTAAGAAAAGTTTCTCTAGATGAAAAGCTGGGTATTTTTGAAAATTTGTAGTAATATAGACCTATACATTGATATTTTTCTTGATTTTAGATTTTTCCCAAAATAGGTTCAAGACATTAAAATTTTGCTTGCATATTTAATATTTCACTATGAGAAATTTTCTTAATAACATTTTGTTGTATTTCTCAAAGAAAGGACAGTTTCCTAGTACAAAAAAGATAATCCTACGGAAGGAAAATCGTTTCTCAAATATCGCCTCGAGATTAAAGAAATGTTTTCATTTATATCTACGATCCCAAAGACCCACAAGTCCATGAAATTTTATTTGAGGATCGTCAGTAAAAATAATTGCGAAAAATTACAAATATATTGGAAAATACTACATTAAAATGCAGAATAAAACCTAATCGTATAGTTTACTTTTACGAAGCAACCAAAGATGTAAAAACTACTTCAAAATAAAACAAAACTCCTCAAATCAACCTTGGAATACATAATAATTTCAGAACATATAATCAAAACAGCTTCATATTTGTCTATTTGGCTTTATAATCGTTCAGAAAGCATCAGAACTCCTATAAAATACGTCAAAATATATCAAAACGGCTTCAGAAAGCATTAAAATGATTTAAAACTGCTTTAAACCACATCAAACATCATACCAGACTTTGACTACATAAAAATCCACTCTTAGTAAAAAAAAATCAAATCACATTCAAAATACATTATGGCAGGTTATTTATGAATAAAATCAGATTTCTCTAAATATGTAAGGGATGTTGAATTTTGGCATATTTTTCTAAATAAAATAGTACGCCACTGCTTTACTGCAACAACCATATTTTCGGATTCGTCTTCCAATCTTCTACAAATTCCTACTATTTTATGTTTTTCGAAAAAATGTCGGGCCTTTGTTCGTGGAAATGGTGGTATTTTTGAGCATTTACTCAAATAAAATCATTAAAATTATTACTAATGTTATTAATTTCTTTATTCGAATAAATTAACCGAATGATTAGCGCTTATCATGTCACTTAAGTAAGAGTGTTTTCAGTTGTTTTTTTAAGTTTTACTCGAAAATCAAGCTTTTTTCGAAAAACACCCTGTATCTCCGCCACTGGAGCATGTAAATTTTAGGAAAAGCCCTCAGATTTTGTATAATGTTTACATATGTAAATACATGTGTCCAATTTCAAATTATTTCACTTACTAGTTTTTAAATTACATATTTAAAAAAATTTTAAATATTTTTTGAAGTTTAACACCCTGTATCTTTTTAACGAAGCGTCCTAGATAAAAACTTTATAGGAAAGACCCCTTAAAATTCACCAAAGAATACGAGGTTTCATTTTTGGTCACCATTTGTGAATCACCCTGTATAGTAATAATTCTTTGTTAAAACTTTGTAAAATTTGTTGTAACCGTTTATGTAGCTAGTTGAAACATGTTTAATTAAAATTATATTCTCAGTAAGTCTTCATATATCAATATCCTTTTTATATATTTCAGAGCAAACGCATAGCCAGAATTTTTCCCAGGGTAGGTCAAAACAAAATTACATAATATAAACTACTTATTAAAAAATGGTTTTATTTAAACATTTGAAAACGATAAAATGAATTGGGTGCATTGCTATAATTGGAATCAATGGAAATCTTATTTCAGCACTATAAAAAGTTTTTTCTTATAATTTTTTTTCATTAGTAAAAAACAAAAATGCGCTTACCTACAGAGAACCTACAAGAGTGCATCGACAATAATGGCCGTCATTTAAAAGATATCATTTTTAAAAAATAACGTTCCTTAATGGCATGAAATGTAGATTTAAAAAATAAAATTAAAAATGTTCGCTTTATGTGGTTTGGTTTTTATTGGCATCCCAAATAGTACCTATCATTTTACCGCACCCTGTATTTTTTAAAGTTTTATTATTAAAACCTTCAAAAAATGTGAAATTAAAAAATAATTTAGAAAATCAGTCATTTAAAAACACCTAGCTGACGATATTTAGACGGAAAAAAATGTTTTTTTGTAATAATTTCAAATAAATAAAACAAAAAATATTTAATTCGAAGAAGGATCTAATACAAACTGATTCATATTTATGTATGTAGGAGGATGTGACAAAAAAAAGCACATGATTAAAATTATCATGTTTCCCAACTTTAATAAATTAAAACTGTTTTATGATAAATTAAATTTATAATTTTTTGTTTATCGATTATTAATTTTTTTTAAATTATTTTTTATTTTTTAAATTTAATCGTCAGTTAGAGGTTTTTAAATAATTCATTTTTACCGGCGCCCCAGTCTGCCCCACTGTAAGCTACGCCTATGTTTTAGAGTCTGCCATTTTTGGCCAATAAACAAATTGCTGAATTTAAAATTAAAGGATCCGTACACTGAATTAAAGCATTAAAAATACGTTTCGAAAATTGAATCTTCAGGCGCCCAAATTTATTTTCAAATTCATGAAATTTAACACCTATTTTTAAGCACAGTACGTCGTATTTAGGATTCTGTGGTCTTAATCTAGAAGGTCCTCATTATGAGGGACCGTCCACATAGCCCAACCTTTTATGCAAATTGCGCAACGCCATCTTGGTATTTGCACCCCTTCAAAAGTCATATTTTATCCCTTGCGGTCCATGTTCAAATTTGTTGAGACGTTCGATGGTTAACGGATGACTTGCTACACCAATAGCCGAGATATTTATTTCAGATATGGATTTTAACGTGAAACAAATTTATATATTTCCAAAAGGAGGGCTTTTCTATAGTTAATGTATTTTAACATAAAATAAGACTTTTTTGATAGAATAGTTTTTCTTTTCTTGGTTTATTTTACGGCGCTGTAAATTTCAACAATTAAAAAAAAATGTAAATAAACTCCTACGTCACAAACATCGTAGCATAGTCAACATAGGCACCATTTTTACTTTTATAAATTACTTTAAAAATATCTATTTTCTTTAAATAACACGCACGCGTGGTAAAATATATAAACAGAAGGGTTAACAGCGTTCGTTTTAACAAGAAAAGTTTATTTTTCAATTAAAATTGTTTGTTCCTGTCTTTGAAAAGACTAAATGAAATTTTATGAAGATGAAATGTATGTTTTATTATAAGATCCGCAAGTAAATCGTACATACCAGGTTCGTAGGTACTTTATTTTAACGTGGGCGATGAAAAATAGATTTAGGTATTTGTAACAACATAATTTTGTACACAACAACGTGATAAGGAGTAAAGTAACCGAGTTATATTTTATCAGTAAATTAAAGAATCTGGATAAAAAAACTAAAGACCGTACGACTAGCATCAAAACAACTAGTTTCAGCTATTATACCATCTCCAGGGAAAAAGAAAAAAACTGTAATATACGAAAAACAAACTTCAGCTTATAAACAAACAAACAGAAAAACAAATATTTTCCAATCAGTGTATTAATGTAATTGTTTAATTGTGTTGTTTGTATTTTATAATTGGAAAATATTTGCTTTTCTGTTTGTTTATATGTTGAAATATATGTTTTATATATTGTAGTTTTTTTCTTCTCCCCTAAAGATGGCATAATAGCCGAAATTAGTTGGAAAGAAATTTATACTGAAATAAAAAGGACCATAATTTTTCCCATTCCCTCAGAACGAATGCTTCCTGAAAATATATAGTAGAATAGTTGTAGTACGAATGGAAATTGTGGATGAAACTAACAACATGCACGATTGCTACTTGGCTTTCTACTAACAGATATGGTAGCGGGGATGTTTTTTTCAGAACGATGAAATAACATACGCTGAATTGTCTATTGCAAATCAGCAGATTCCCCAGGTGATCTACAATCAGCAGTGCATACCCATGTCGGTGATACGAAGGCAGGAGCCCACCGTCTACGCCCAAATCGACGTGAAACGTATGCCCCAGTGCATGCAACCCCTCAGTCCTCCGCTACCGTCATCGTTCCAAACGCTGCATCATCCACATCTGGCACCTTACATACCCAGGCCCCTCCGGGACGACCAGATTCTGCACGATGGTTCCGTTAGTTCCGAAACGCCGTTGCTGAATCCAAGAGATAATAATGTAAGTATCGATGATTAAATCAAGAACTTTTTTCAGTTTTACGTTTTATATTACGTTCAAGATTTCTGGTTCTCTTTTCCTCACTCTCTGAATTTGTTCCCATCCAATATTGGTGTATTGGCGTTCAAAGCTCCCATAATCTCTTAAATCCATCCATCGCGCATCGGGATAATCCATCTGATATCATCTTCTTGCAGCATCATCGTTTTCTCTCGACAAAAGTAGGCCCTTACCAAATCAACTCTTTTTTTATTCGTATATATTTTTTTTCATAATAACACCCAGAAACATGAATATTAACAGAATAATACACTGCGCATCGTCACTAAAAACACTGATTTAATAAACTTTATAAGACTACACGCTTAATTACACAAAGACACTTGAAAAAACATTAGCGTAAACCGACAAACTGGAAACTAAAACAAATATCATTCTGAGCCTACTTATAGACCACCAAAAATACACAGGAGGCTATGCTCCTCTAGAGAGCCTAAATCTCTTGCTAGCCTCCGTTGCCCTTCGTAAGCGTTCGGATCAGGATCGGATTCTGCTTAAATTTAAACTGTACAGAGTGTACCGTTGATAATTGTATGCTATTAAATATCTATTCGGCTAAGAAAATGGCTGAATAAGAAAAAAAGAGTAAAATTATTCGGCATTTTGTTTAAAATTTTATCCTTTTTAAATAGTACTGTTTTAACTTTCTTAATTGTGACCGTAGTTTAGTTCAGCTAAACTAGATCAATGTCACAGATTATTGACATTGAAAGTAGTAACACAATTGTATTTAAAAACTTAAAACGATTTTAAAAAAATATTTCATAGGTATCAATCAGATTAGTAAGCATTTGTATTTTTTATGTAGGTTTTTTAAAACAGGAAAAAAATATTATTGTAAAACAGAAATCAGTTTTACTTACAATTAGTAACGTATCTATATACCAATATCAGTTAATATTTAATAAATAGATTGTTTTTATTTAATATTCGGCGTTTCTTCCACACTGACATCAAACAAATATGGTAACTTTAAAATAACACGTCTCTAAGTCATACAAAATAAATCTGTTTTTACTAAATCATTTTTCATCGTTACAGTTGGTTTAAAAAAGTAACAATTATTAAAGTGCATTTTAAAAATTAGATTATAAATTATGACTATTTAATTGATAAAAAATTTCAAATTAGTTTCTGAGGAACACGTACGATTGCCCCTAAAAAATTGACCCCCACTTAAAGTTACACCAAGTATAAATAGTTGGAAGTAATCAGTGTTTGCAGTTTTCGATGTAAATAATATCAGATTTAAAAAAGGGACTTGAAAATATTTTCTTGGTCGTTAAAATTCTGAATGATTTTTGTTTTTCCAAGGAAAGAAATGAATAAAATAAACATATTTTATATCAGCATATAAATAAATAAATAACCTTTATTTTCCTTAAAGACTTTACAATAAAGTATGGGAATAGTCAATATTCAACTGCTTTTGCCATTATTATGTGTTACCTGGTGTTACAACAACTGTAAACACATTTGGGCCCGTCTTACCCCGTTTCTACGAACTAACACAAATGTTGTCTTGCTTTACCATAAATTAACGATATCTTCCGAGTTGCTAGACACGTAAGTCATTTTGTGACACTTGAAAAAACTAATGTAAACACTATCGCAACAACGACAATACTAAAAATCGGATTTCAGTATTCGGAAATCGCCTGGGCCATGTGGGCGAATGACACTAGAGACTACAGTATTTCAACGATGTAAAGGTTGAAAATACTACAACTTCAATATTTTTTTTTCGGAAACTATAAGGGTTTTACAAAAAAAAATTTTACGATATCGACTCCACTTTTTATGAAGCATCTATTCCCAAATTGTTTTGGGTAAGTTGTGAATCACCCTGTATAGTAATAATAAAGTAACTATAAAATGCGAGAAAAAATGTATTATTATTTTTTGATAGAGATGGGAAGAGATTATGGTGAGATAGGAAAACAGAAATGGTATTTTAAAAGAAATTGAAAAAAGGAGAAATCAAATAACGTATATAAAATTCTATATTCGATTCTATAAATATAAAAAATAACGTTATTGCCACATATTACAAAAAATACTTTGTAACCTTTTTCCTCTAAACCCTGTATTATTGTCTTAGTAAAAGAATAATTGTCATGATTAATCTCAGATGTAGGAAAAATATGAATAATTTCTGGATCTAAGAAATAATGCTAATTTTTTTGATAATTTTATTCCTCGTTTTTATCCTTTTACATTTCCCTTGAAAACATATTTGATCAATTCTAAAATATCTTTTTCCTCAAGCTGGTGTTTTATTTTGAAATAACCATTAAATAGCGAGTTGCCCTTGCTACATTTATTAACAGTATACTGACATTTAGACACGGAATAATGCAGAATTCATTGAGAATTCAGCGCTTTAATTCAAGAAGGTCCTTGTAAAGGGGAACCATCAACATTCCTATACCTTTATGTAAATTCAGACCAAAGCATCATCTTGGCATTTGTTACCGTCCTTTAGCACAAATTGTTGGCTTCGGTGTAATAACTGCTTATTAAAATTAATGATTCTAAGACAATGATGTGTTCCAAAGCTTCCCAGATTTTTTTAAGTAACAGGTAGCTTTTATGTTTCTAAAATGCTTGGCAAAACTTTAGTGGTGTTTAAAACTGGGGTGAAATTTTGCCTTATATAAGTATACCGTCTTTTTTTTTCAGACTCTTCAGACGCTGTTGGAGGGTTCCAACACAAGAACACCAAATATAACTTCTACGCTCCCCCGAACTGTCACGGCGACTCGGTTTTGACCTAGTTAAGTTTAAATCCAAAGGACTGGTATATTTATAAATAAATACTTAATTGTTATATGACTTTAATGTGAGTGTTACCTTTATACTAAGTGTTTCATCGTTTGCGTTCCGAATATTTCGACTTCTCCGGGAAATATTTTATTTTTATAAGATCGATGTCCTCTATTCCTTTCAGAGCAATTTTTATTTATTTGGAATTATATTTATATTGAAATGTATGTATTTTTAGAAATTTATTTAGAGAAGTTGTTACTTATATGAAGTGAAAATTTTATTTGACATTTTATTGTTGTTATTTATTCTGTATTTTTTCGTCGAGCAAGGACAATTGTAAGACTGTGATGGTACAGTCACAATCCGAATTTTAAAAACAGCATGTGCAGACTAAATTTGCAGTATAGATTTTTTTCGAACAAAGAATGATAAGTGAAAACTAAAATTCTACGAAGACATTCACACTTTTTTTCTGTACATTCAGTAACAACTTTTGTTAAACATTTGCTTTGTATAAAGTTGTAGTGAGTAGATACTATAAGATTTTTTTTAACATCTATTTAGTCTGAACATACTGCAGTTGCCTGTAAATATAAATTTTTATAGCTGTGACAACAAATCAATTATAAATATAAAAAAAATGTAAATTGCTGCATATAATTATTATAACCTCCGTTAAACAAAATTCGCATACCTTCTCATTAATTATAATTTCGAATTGTTGAAACGAAATTTAAAATGTTTGTTGTCTAGGTAAATAATATGTATTATATACGTATATAATATGTTGTTCACATTAAACGATAAAATGATTATTTTGTTACTATTATTTCTTATAGAAATTCATTATGATGTACTGCCATATATTAAGTCTGTACAAGTAAGGAGATTTATTATAATTCGCTTTAAATATTATTTTTTATTTGGCATTTATGATAGTAAGTGTAAACAGTTGGATTTCCGTCCAATATCACTTCAACACATGCAAACATTGTTGAGTGCAACTTTTTCAGTCAAATATATCTGAACATATTACAATTTTATAACATTTTACCTTTCTCGAGTTTAACATATTTATTCCTAACGAACTATGTATTTCCTAAGGCAATTTTTAATAATACATTTTTATACAGGCTGATTCAGTCATAATATCATTAATTTTAAGGGAAGATCATAATTAAAACCCCTTTTCGGTGCGCTCCTGATCGCTGTCCCACAAAGGTTTATCGAGAGTAAATCTCGACCTACCGCATTACTCGGTCACTAACCTAGCTTTTACTGCATTTTTAATTCGTAGTAAACGCTAACAGGTAATTAACAGGTTTTTTTTAAATATTAATAAGTATTATTTATTTATTAATAAAAACAAATGTATAACGATAATAATTGTTTCCGAATGTTAGGTTATTACAATTTAGTATTTTTAATATTATTAACGTTTTCAATGTTTTCTTTTATAATTGAATATGAGTTTTTAGTGTTTTGTTCAATTAATTATTCAGTTTATAGTACGTATACCAAGTGACTTATTGCTTTTCAAAGAGTAGTATGGCACCTATTTATGCCAGTACAGCTAAAACAACACATATTCGTCCATAGCAGTTTTTAATAAAGTTGGGATCCGTTGCACTTTGGTTTTGAAATCAATTACAAAATTCAACACGACAGGGGAAATCTGCTGTTTCTCTTCAACGTTCGAAATTAACGGGAGTAATTTGCTTATTTTTTAAAAGGTCGAGTAACATTTTTTTTTTTCAATTTTCTGTCTTTAATAGATCTTCCGAATACATGGTTAAAATTAATAACATTATGACTCACCCTGTATTACTGTTGTTTTGGAAATTTGTTTCTAATCGCAAAAGTATGCTTGGATATATTTCACGTTTCTCACGTTTTTTAACTTTTTTTTATTTAAAACGTATACCTAAGAAACATTTTCACTGTAAATATGTAAATAAGTTGCTCAAATAAATCATTATTACATAAACTTTTTTCCTTAAACGATTGTTAATGAATTGAATGGCCGAAATTTTTTTTTGTCCAATCATTTTTTAACTAACGCAGTCTGTATATGTATTACGTCGTAAAATATATGTATTGACTTGACAATAAGGTTTTAGTATTTCAATTTGTTCGTCTTGAATCGGTTATAAATAAGTAAAAATATGAGAAAAGTTTTGAAGTGGCCTTGTCTATAACCTAAGTAATCTTATTTAAACAGTTTGTGTAGTGTTAAATAGATTTTTGTATATATTATGTGTTAAAGGATCATGTAATGTAACGATTCATAAATTATAAAAAAAAATAATAAAGACATAACATATATTCCTGTTCTTCTATGTTCAGACCGTAATACCTTTAAATTCAGCTGATTTTGACTGTTATGTTGCCTGTTAAAATTATAAATACAAAGATAAAAACTGAATGAAAAAAAATATCAACAGAAGCAGATATACCGAGGAGCAAAGAAGTTATGACATCTTAAAAATATACAAAATACAAGTGACGCCCTCTAATAAGTAACATCAAAATTATGGTAGGATTTGGATTCGTCGCCTCAAAGAACCTCCGCCACCCAAAATTTGTGCAATATCTGTAATTATCTCTTTTAAGTATCAACTTTTGGACTAAGGTAAGTTTGGTTTAAATATTTTAGTATATAGAATGATTTCTCAAATAGGGTCTGTTCAAAAAATAACCGAAAATTTTGAATTACGCGCTAATAGAGATATTTAGTGATATGCGGTTGGCAGCATTGCGTTGCGCACAATTTCCTCTATAACCACATGTTCTTGGATTGCTGATAACTCATTTAATATTCGTCATATCGTTATTCGAGTACAAAGTGTCGCTTTTTGAAATATGCAATTTTCTGGAACAACGTAAAATTTTGCGTGAAAACTTTCACGGAAACGTTTCAAGTTTTGAAACAAGCTTACGGACGTAAGGGGTTATTTCTTTATTTATCTAACTACCATTATGATCAGTATCATAACGGATTTCAAAAGAGTTTACTATTAACTCCTCGAAAGGGAGTTTATAATTTTTATCATCTACACTTTAATTAATACATGGGAACTTAGAAATATTATACGTTCAGAGAATGAGTTCCAGACACTTAACCGTACGTCGCTCATGTACAAGGTAATCTAGTGGTTGGTTGTATAGGGTGACACTTAAGTTGGAAGAACAGGCAAACACCAAAACTTTTCATAACAATAAAAAAAACACAAACAAAATAACGAAGACACAGCGAATTCGAATTAATTTACACGCGATAACGTAAACCGAGATTCAGGGAACCCAACACGAATTCATAGCAAAATTTGGAAAAACTTCTGTTATTAAATTAACCTGAGTCAAAATTAAGAAAACTGGGCATTGTGGAATCCAAGGAGAAACAGCCTTTTTTCGAAAATCTCTCCTGAATTCGACACCTCGCTTCGACACGCCCATTTCTTGAGTCCAGAAGTTTCTCTTCTTATCTTATTAGTGGGCGCCCTGAATATCGAAATGGCTTAACTATACCGTGTTAATACCTACTTGACTGAATTTTCAATTGTATGGACGGATTAGTCAATATCATTTAATCTATTCTTATAGCTTGGAAAATCCGCCTAAAAACCAGCTATTTGATCTATTATTATTTTTCTCACAACATTTTAACAACTTATTTAATTAAATATATTGGAATTCTTTTCGTATGTATTTCGCGCGTTATTAGAAATATCGATTTTTCCCTTCACCATGGGCTAAACAGACGCTACCAGATGCCCAACACATGGCCCCGATGATCTAAGTCTACTTGTTCAAAATCATTGCTAAATTCATGACGCCTTCTCTGAAGGACTACGATGGTCGAGCTTTTCAAATTTATTACTTCCGGTGACAAGAGGCACCAGTTTCTCAGTGACTTTATGGCGACGCTAAACCTACTTGAGGACCCTTAACTTTTCAATAATTATTGTTGACTGAGTTGGCCCATCCGTTCCGAGAACTAACAAATAACCTATCACGAGTCCCGGCTGTCGTTACAAATGTTACGAATGGTTTTCACGATTTAAAATTATCCTCAATCAGGAAGGCCTTCGACTTCAACTGATTACTCCCATGTCCAGGAAGTCAAAGATCTGGTGCATGCAAATTGCCGACTCTCAATTGGGTCATGCCATGAAATTTTGACTGAAAAATTGAACATGCGTCGAGTTGCAGCAAAATCTGTTCCTCGTTTGATGACCGAATGACAGAAAGAAAATCGTATGAACGTTTGCCTTGAACTATCTAATGACTATGAAACATTCATTGAAAGGATCATAACGGGAGACGAAAGCTGAGTTTACGGCTACGACATTGAGACAAAAATTCAATCATCACAATGGATTGGCAAAGAACCTCCACGCCCCAAGGATGCACGTCAGTCTCGATCCAATGTCAAAGTGATGGTCACTGTTTTTTCGACTTTAATGAAATTGTGCATTTTGAATTCTTGCCTCAAGGTGAAACAGTGAACCCTGACCAGAGTTGTGACGAGACAACTCGTGGTTCTTGCACCATAACTATGCGCCCACATACTCATCTTTGTCAATTCGTCAGATTTGTGCCAAAAATCAGATTGCGATTTTTTCATATTTCCGAAATTAAAGTCAATAGTGAAAGAACGCCGTTTTCAGACTATTGCTCACATAAGCAAATTCGTCATAGACTTTAGAGGCCATATCAATTGACACCATCCAGGACTGCTTCGCGAAATGGAAACACCACTAGGAAAAGTGTGAATAGGGGGGGTTAGTACTTTGAAGAAGACAAGGGCCAATAATGTATAGAATTAATAATAAAGTTAAAAAAATAAGTCGTATAAGGAAATATAAATTAACAATTAACCGATTATTATTACATTAAATTAATCTTATTTTTAACAAACTGCGTTACAATTAAGCTTATTACTTTAAGAAATATAAACTGTACTATCGATTCAAGTCTAAAAAGAAAAAATAACATTTTTTTATGTAAACACGAGATATTAATCTTGATCGGAACTGACAGCGATAAAAGCAACAAAGTGAATACAATTTGCTTTGTAGCAGTTCTTAAATTAGAGGTAGCATTGTCGTAGTTCATAAAAAATTTAGATTTACAGAAAGGGCAATATATAGCATGTAGGACATTTGCAGGCAAATCATTGCGAACGTATTTTGTAGAAAAAATAGCCAACATAATGGGTGATGACCATACCTATTTACCTTTTACAATAAAAATTCTGAATATGATTAATATGTGGCCCAATGAAGCGAAAAAATGTGATTTTATTAAAAAGTACTACATTTTGTTCGGTATTTTATTATCTATTACTGCTATTATGGCCGATTTTATACTACAGTTTTACGGTAAGGCTAATGTAATACCTAGATGTTTTAGTCATTTACAATTTTTATACATTTTTTAAATTATAAACGTATCCGTTTTTCTTGGAATTGCAGTAAATATATGCAATTTATTTCATTTTGTTATTTGGAACAATTTGTAAACATTTAGATTTGAATTTCTCTGAATATCGTTTAAAAAAATTTTAGATTCTAATTAAAATGTATTTGTTTCAATATTTTTAATGCATGTACGTAAGATTATTGAATAGGGTCTTCTTCGAATTATAATTTAGCTACACCTCTATCTTTTTATAAACAGTTTCAAAAAATGTTTGCATTTTCCTATATCCGAACCGTTTTACATAACAATAAGTGATCAGATCATTAATTTACATTAAAATTTTGAATGCATTCGTAGCAATTTCACCCATTTCAGATGATGACTTTTCTTTCACAAGCCTAGTTGACTCTCTGATAGGACTGAGTGCCCTGCTGAGCGTAATCTACATATCCGTATGCTTCATAGTTAAAGACCAGGAAATAAAGAGATTGACTGAAAACTTGAAGATATTTGAAGAGTATATCCCGAAGGTTAAAATTGAAGAAACCGAGGATAAGGCGAAATTCCACACAAAAATTTTCATAATCTACGGAATCATGGGGAATATTATTTATGATTGCTTGCCCTTACTGACGTACGAAGATTGCCACAAGAATAGGTCTAAACATATGATCAAGTACGGAATACCGTGTGGTGGCATTGTCCATTACGTTTTGCCGTATAAGCAGGATACTTTCCCTTTGGCAGAAATTACGATAGTAAACCAGATGCTTATCAGCACCGTGGGTATGCCAGACTTTCATAATTCATACGTGTTTTTTTCTAAAAAAATAAATAAATAAAAGAAAAGTAAAAAAATATATAATCAAAAAGGTATTGCTGATATATAACAAAGTGTGTTGCTGCACTGCTTTAACTCACTTTGTACTAATACGATTTATCTCGGAGAAAGAGACATCTCATTTATTATGCTCAATGGGCGACTGTAGATTAGGTGACTCAAGAACAGTGCCCAACCACAAGCTCCTCCTTTAAAATCAGTAATAGAGTAATTATTTTCTCAATGGCATGTAGTTGTTGATCGTCACCTTCCTGCAACAACACTGCTTCAATTCCTAGTCTACTTACGTCCGTACTTAAATCGCAACCCTTGTTGGAATTAAAATTATGTAGCACAGGCACAGAGACTAACTTGTTTTTTTTTAAGTATTGAATGACCTACCCTATATTCCTATGTGAACGATATGTATTTCTTTGCAGTCTCATGCAGTAGTCGTACAATTTTGGCGAAATTCTTGATAAAACTTCTCTAACAATAACATAACTAATGAAACTCTGAATGTTTCTGATACTTTCTGGTTTCGGAAAAATTTTAATTGCCGCCTATCCTCATCAAGAGCTACACCATCTTCACTAACTACAACCCTAAGATTCTGAATTTTTGATTTAATGTTAAACCTGACTCGCAAAGTCTTAGAAAAACTTTATTAAACTTATTGAGAAGTCCTTCAAAAAGACAATGTATATTAATACTGCAGCGTCACATAATCCTTAAATTGGTATGAGCTTGTACTATAAATACGATGTAGGTATTTTTTGAAATTATCCTCAATTCTCACTTGCCAATTTTGCACCTAAATGCCAATATATATAATATATATTTGAGATTTTCGTGACCTTCTGTAATCTACACAGAATCTTGTTTAATCGTACTTCATCGTTACTAGTACTACTGGACTGGACCAAAAGTGACAAAGTTATACGATCTAATAAGCAAGCATAAGTCTAAACTGGTTAACTATTATTTCTACTTTCTTGTTTTTCTGACACTCGGTAAAGGCGACATTTTATTGACTCTGCATCATCCACATCGATCATATGCTCAATAAGATTAGATACGCCGATTGTCCTCGTAGAATTAGAGAAAATATCTTCCATACTCACATCATGTCTGTAAATAGACACAAAAATAACTACAAATATAGCAAGATCAGTTATCTGGTGGTTCTACTGTAATTAACTTCTTACTAGATATGGCAGGTGTAATTCAATGCTGGTCGGGGCATTAATCCGCAGAGTAGTTATTTCACAGAATATTATCATCGACAATAAAATCATTTGTTAAAACTTTGTTTCGCCTTGTGTCTGAGGGTTGCTTGCTTTCGGTGTGCAGCAAAATAAAACTCAACAGTAAAAATAAAGTATTTTTATTGAAAACAACGTTAGTGAAAAAGATGTGTTGTCGGGGCGAGCGTTCGCTGGAGAGTTGTCTGGTGTGGAGTCATTCACAGAAGTACCTGATAACTTAGCGCCAATCTGCCGTGGACCTTTTCTGGAACCCTGTTGCGTCCCGTGTCTATTTTTTTGTCCTTGCAACTGTTAGATCAGTCCGGGTGTCGTCAGACTGGCGCCACATGTGACATTATTGATGTCCCTTTCTGTCAGTTTGGACATGTTGAAAGAATTTAAGATTTAAGGCACTGTTATTATATCTCGTCTAAAGGTGCACTACAGGTTACTAATAGGTTAAAAACCGTTATGTCTGGTGGTTCTACTGATGAATAAGCTAGCTGTTGGCAAGTTGTAACGTGTTGCGGCATCAGTCCGCAGAGTACTTGTTTTCAACGATATCATTCGTCAAAAATGATATTGAACATAAAAAAGCTCCAAACTCAAAACAGCTTAGAAAAATATGAGGAAACCCCCAAAAAAAAAGATCAAGATTTATCCACCATATGTATTATATAGCTACTACTTAACCACCAAAGCAGTATATTTTCTACTGACTGTTGATCAACTTTTAGGCACTCTTATTGTAATGACGGTCACCATGCTTGTTTGTGGAATCTTGATACATGTATCAGCAAATTTAAAATATCTCAGAAGTATGATTTCAAACTTAACGTACACACCAAATAATCGAATAATGCAACACGTCAATTCTTGTGTCAAATACCATACTATGATTTGCGAGTAAGTATTAGAATGAATTGGTGAAGAACAAAAAAAATCCAAAATGTACTTGGGAGTTACAATAATTGTAAAACAGTTTTGCAGGTCGAATTAATGAAGCTTTTAGTACCATGATGCTAGTTCACATAACTTGGACCAGTTTCATAATAAGCGTGCTAGGATTTGAAATTATTATGGACACAAATTATTCTAATTCTATCAGGTTCTCTCTGCACTTGGGAGGGTGGTTGGGAATGCTATTTTTGATTTGTTTCTATGGACAAATTTTGATGGATGACGTAAGTGTACAAATGTACAAAGAACAGTGGGTAATGCGTTTTAATAATTTTTAATATTTCAGAGTTTCGCTGTTTCCGAAGCACTATATGAAGCAGAGTGGTACGAAAAGCCACCTATTGTTAGGAAGTCTCTTGTTTTAATTTTGTTGAGGTCCCAGAGACCATTGGTATTGAAAGCCGCTGGTGTAAACGTCATGTCGTTAGCCACGTTCTTAGGGGTATGTTAAATATTAAGACCAAATTAAAAAATTTACCATTGTTGTGCAACATGATATTATCGTATAGACTTAGCCTTACTTTAATATCGAGCGATATATTAAAATTTCAGTATGACATACATATCTGGTATCGTATCAAGTGTAATTTCACTTTATTGCCAATAATTTTGTAATCGGCTTTTCATTCTTTTATACCGACAGAGATGCGTTAACAAAATTTTACTACACTACTCCAACATAAATTTTTTATGATTGAAAGGATCTTCAGAAAACGTAAACATATTTTTAATGAAATACTGTGTAGAGTTGTTTCAAAATCTTATGAGCTTTGATCTTCATATGCGCAGAAACATAATTCCGACCGTCGCCTAAATTATTCTACATCCTAAAAACATTACATCCATTATTCACAGTCTATCTCGAGCTCTCGTAGCGTAAACAAGCCTTCGATCCGATCACAAATATCATAATAAAATGCCCTATTCTTATTATTTTAGTTTAAGCAATAAAAATATATATAACGAACGTTGGCTAGTTGACTTTATTGATGCCCGAGCGCCATAGTTCATTTCTGGTTGTAATGAGGCACGCGGTCTAATTCTGAGTCAATGTTTTCACGACGTACTTATTAGAAGAATTATGCAGATATGCTACGCATTTCGCGGCTCATGAGTTTTTAAAACTACTCTAACTCCCATAAAAAAAACTTACCACACAGTCGCGGCGACAAATCATAGGCAAGAAGTTCAAAAGAAGATAAAATTTATATCACAAGCTTTAAGTTATACCTACAAATGTCAAGTTATTTTAATTGTTTTGGAGTGTTTCTGGTCATGGCCAATTTGACAACAGGTCTGATCCGAGAAAAATAGTGTCCAAAAATTGCAAATATCACTAAAAGTAGTAACGGCAACCCTAACAATGTTTATATGACTTGAAAGGAATTTTCAATCTGCATACGACAGAGTAAAAAAAATAAGGGACGTTCTATTTAAGTTAACAAAGTTATAGCCGTTTGAATTTATCAACATATGTAACAGCAAAAATGAAACAGCTAGTATTAAATGTTTCAATTTATTGATGTACCATAATTTAGTGTTACCTATGCCCTATGCTCGTTACAGGTACCAAAAATCCACTTGTTATCACGCTCCTGAAAAGAGTTACTAGCATCTCTGTTGACCCTTACATCTGTCAAATTTTTTCTTTAAAAATTATTATCTGAAAATCTATAACACCTAAGATATAGAGAATATTTAATAAAGTGATCCTCAAATTTCATGTAGAATCCGAAAATGCAACAATATATAAGTCCCATTTAAACGAAGTTGGTGCTGGAAAGTTCTAGATATTTTAGTTGTGTTTGCCCCAGGGACGTTGCCATGTTACCAAATTTTCAAATTTTTCGGATCAGTATTTTCAGTTATAATATCACAAGAGCATAGAAAATATTCGATTATACTTCCGAGTCACGAGACGTATTCTGCGAAACACCACGACAGCGTAGCTGGAGTGGTGTTTTAAGGATATACGTCGAGTGAGGAGGTTAGTATAATCGAATATTTTCGTTTGCTCGAGTGGTATTCGATACGATTATATAATTCAGAGCTTGAACCGAAGCGTTCCATTTTTTTTTTTTTGACGTTTATTGACAAATGTTAAAACTATCGTTACCATGACATAGTTCACATTGTTGGAGGAGGCGAAACACCAAAACGGTTATAACACGTCGTCAAGAGTATAATCGCTTATCAATACATAGTAACTACGTAAAATTTGTAATTGCTATTGGCTAAATTTCTAATGAATTATATAATCCTAGATATCGATCGACGCAGTTCCCGGTGGGACACCCTGTATATGTTTCGATACATCGATGTATCGTGACATAAATGTCGATGGCTTCGATGTATCAAGATAAAAACATCGATATTTCGATGTATCGAAGTAAAATTATATGTAACTTCAATTCAGTTTGCCGAGCATAGAAAAAAGATGAAATATAGTTGAATTAGGGATTTTACTTATAATTTCTTGTTTAAATGTAGAAATAGTCCAGAAGAGAGTTATAATGTTGATGTAAATTCAAAGCAATATGCTACTACTACAATATAATATATATTTTTAAATTATGAAAAAAAAAACATACATTCTGAAAACAAATAATCACAATGTATAAAATTAATCACAAAATATTTAAAACGGTATCTAAACTGTAAAAAAAAATAATATTAGATTCAGTACTCGTCAGGCATAGATCCTGAAAATAATACATTCTTCATCCGGCATTCTGATTCAGTACCGAAGTTTTACTTCGTATATTGGGCACTAGATGGCAGCATTAGTTTATCGATATTTCAAGTAAATCGATGTCGATACATCGATATATCGGTGCATAAAGACCGATGGCAAATCATCGATGGCTGAATGTCGATGTATCGATGTTTTTAAAATATCAATGTATCGATGCCATCCCTACAGTCAAGATTCAAGGCATGTTAATACCAAACTTACCACTTGCCACGTGAACATGTTTTTGGGGTTATGTCACACCTACAAATATTTTTCCCACTATTAACAGTATTAACCACCTGTCGATATGCGTATCATTAATTGAAGAATTTAGCTTCTCTAATCTGGTTTGTTCTCTAATCTCTAATTTGGTTTGTTTCGATACGACCGTTTTTCTCCCGCTAAAGTTTATTTTATTCCACTATTTAATCAATTACATTCTGGTGACGGCTAAAATACATGAAGTACTCGTCTAACTATTGCATTTTGCATTTACTTTAAGCCAAGCTGAAAAATTCTAGCTGTTCAAGTTAATCAAGCATTTGAATTATTGTGAGAGGCGAGGGATCTTCGCAATATCTTTTTTTGCACTTTTATGTTTGAATATCTTAAAATCCTGATTTGACGAAGTAATTTTACGACCAGATTTAGATTTAGTGAAAAAAATTGGGACATAAAACACTATCAGATTCATAAAAGCCTTCGGAGTTCTGATCCTTTCAATGTGTAGACCTGTGTAATTGACATGATTTTTTTTAGGTTTTATATAATGCTTACTCCTACTTCACTTTGCTACTAAAAATTAAACCATAACTGGAAGGTAGTACCTATTACTTGCATACATAAATCTCTTATGCCACTCAAACTATGTAAATTGCCACATATATTTATCCCAAATAAATAATTAAATATACTGTAATAAAAAATTTATGGATTTTGTCATTGTGTAGTTAGAAAAGTGTAATTTACATCAGTCGTTTGAAAAATTCTCAATAAAGACAAGAAACGTTCACATTCAGAAAATTGTGTTTTCTTCTGTGTTCTTTCCCTGCTCTTAGTTTAGCTACTAATTATATAATTTAATCAATATCTGAAGAGATCTTGATAGAGAGAAGAAATGTCAACATTCAGAAACTTGTGCTTTCTGAAATATCTGAATTATCCACCCTCTTTTAATTTGGCTACAAATTATGTAATTTATTCAATATTCGAAACATGATTTAATAGAAATTGCAGCATTTCTTTTCTTCCAAATGAGGGAGGTGCGGATAGTTTTTATATATCTATTTATCAAAAGGCATCATAACATATCCATTACTCTTATTTAAAAATGTATTAGTGCCCTCTGCTGTACAGTAATAACATATGATTGATGAGTCTTAAAAAAAAGAAAAAGTTTATTATGAAAATATAAAATAACAAAACGGTTACTACAAAAATATATATACAAAAGGCATGACGTGCCAAATGACTATATTCTATATTACAACGAACAAAAAATACAGTTAAACCAAGCACTACGGCTATCTCAATACATCTCTTATTGATTACATAATTTTAACTGTTGGTATAAATAAATAAAACGTCCTTTTGGAAAATCTTTTAGTATCACAGGCAATTTGATGCATCTAAATTGAAAAGGAACTGAAAAAGACACATTTTCAAAAGAAACATCTCGATCGTTGGTCAGAAAATTTTAAAACGCTATTCCTGTAGAAATGGTAATACAAATCTTTTTTTCCCGAAATTCTGTACATTTATCAATTATTATATCTAAATATGGCTTACATAATATGCAATGCTTTTTAATTTCTCAACAACATGAACATGCAAACATGGAATTTGTTAAGAATTGACCATGTACTATATTAAAACAAAGAACTACCCTTAAATTATTATAAATAATTGTCCGGTATCTTTCCTTGATAACAATATAAAATGCTTAAATCAGATAAACATCCATCAAATAAGATATAAAATTTGTATAATAAATTATTTGTCCTACAACTTGGAACACTCTATATATCACTCCCCTATATTCTTACTTCTGCTAGTATATTTTATAAATAGTAATTCAACATTTAGAACATTTCTATTATGACTATATGTATAAATATAATTATTAGATAAAAATGTAGTGTTCAATATGTCCGTCAAAAAGAACGTAAGTGTTGATACGTTATAAATATACGGGGTGTGGCATCTTTAATGAAGAGAAAATTAAATACAGATTCCTAGAAATATATATGATAATAAAGTCTTATATCAAATAGTTCTATATTCACGTATTGTCAAGAAAATGGAACGTCAATTTTGAAGCAAAAAAATAAATCTTAGTACGGCCCCGGCAATATTGACATTCAACAGCAGATGCTTGCCGAACCAAACTTACCGAAAATCTGGGCAGATGAGCCCTCTTAACACTTCCCGTATCTCACAACCGTTGAACATAATGTAAAATAGTAATTGCATGCGGATAACAACTTTGTGGCCATCGTTCCTGGTATAACCGACTTGCCCTAAGAGCATTTTCTCCTGCCGCACCATACCACTATACTATCACCATGTGTGCACACTTGACAGTAGGAAACGCATTGTTGTTCCATTGTCGAATTAGTTCAAGCAAAATAAGAAATGCTTTTAATAAAATAGCACTTGCCTGTTTCTTATTTTTTACACTACGACTAATACTGAACACTTATCGGTAACTTAAAACAAAATAATACAACACAATCTAAGTCCATAAGCACGATGTCTAAACAACAGAACGATATTTTTGACACAATTTGACAGCGACAGTCATATGAACGTGAAATTACTGGACAGAGGACTGGTTAGTTATTTCTTTAGTGTAACAACTAATATTGAACACTCTTCGGTTACTTAAAACGACAATACAACACAATCGAAGTCTGAACAGAACGATCTTTTTGACACAATTTGACAGCAACAGACATCGCAACGCGAAACAACTGAACATCGGACTGGTTAGTTATTATTTTAGTTTAACAAGACCACGTGATCTCCATTCCAAAGGTGGCGGAGTATTGTCACTGCATATACGAAAGTTATAACTCAAACAGTGCAAACAGGACTGGATTAACTTTTTGCTACTTTTTGTAATACTCAAATATCATAATTGCCTTAAAATAGCAGATATTATTTTATTTGGTTTACTACCAGGAGTTTAAATTTTTAATTTCTGCACTAAAACGCCACACCCTGTATATCTACTAAGGACCAGAAAATGAACAATTATAAACAGTAAAAAATATTCCCAATTGATAAATACATTAAGTTATTCAAATAATTTAAACAATTATATTTTTGAACCCATATAACCATAAATTGAACAATTACCAACCAAAATATAACAACAAATATAGTATAACAATTTTACCTTTATATTTTTAGTTTAACTAAATTTATTTCGTTACCGAATCGAAATACTTTTAACAACTGAACGGTATTAAAAAATAATTTTGTGTCATGCCAACAATGTAGAGTTAATCAAAGAAAAAAAAAGAAATACCCGTTTCAAATCGCCGAGTGAAATTAATTTTATCATTATTGGAACTATCGAATTGGTAAATAATATATAAGTGGTGCAACTAAAATGCTTAGTAAACTTTAATGGTGAATTCTACATCATAAATTAATAATTGGAAACGCTTAGTTTCAGAATATTCAAAATTAATAAAAAGATATTATGATAAATTCAAATGGCAAAAAAACAGGTCAGAAAGGTAATATGAATATTATATTCCACTCATTGATGTGATTTGTTCAATAACGGCTGTTGAAAATTAAAATGGTCGTATGTATTTTGATAATGAACAATAATGATTTGTGCAAGTTTTTTATAATTAACAGCCGTTTTCTTCCTTTCTTGACAAAATTAAATTTTCTTTATAGTTACACTTATTTAAATTACTATTTTTCAGACCCCGTAATGTTGCAAATTTACGAAAAAAATAAAGAACTACATAATCACTTTAATTTTCACAAGCCACCACCAGATTTGTTGTATTATTATCATGTCAAAAGTTGATGTCACGATACTTTTAATGGGGTTTGACAGCAAAAGCATATTTTTAAAAGCCTTTAATGTTCTATCATCGTAATGATTTCAAAACAATGCCTCTGTAAGTAAAAAAGATTGACACAAACTTTAAGGCCTGTAAATTTTTAAAACAGTGATGTAGAATCCACTATTAGGGCAAGCATTCTTGGTACACCCTGTATATTATAGTACATCATCTTACCATAACAGGCAACAACGGAAATTCCTCAAAAACAACACAGCGAAAATATAGATTATTGAATTTTTTTCTTTTTCAGAATAAATTTTCTCCGACATTCACCTTCATCGATTGAATTTAATTTTACAATCACTTCAAAACTTAGAAGGGATATTTTGGCGATAACCAGGTGCTGCCACCTCTGTGTTAAAGAACGTAAACTATAATAAATTCTAATTCAAATTTTGTCATAACACAAAGATTTTAACTGAAATAGATACATTTAGATTTAAATACTAAGTTCTCTACACGATTATTTCTCAAAGGTGCTTAAAATTCATTAAAAGGCCTCTACATAATATTTATACATTTAAAATACACATTTACAAGTTTCATTAAAGAATCGCCCCTGATGGCCCCGATTTAGTTCTCACCTTTTTTGTCACCGCGATAAAAATGGTATAAAAGTTCTTTTAAAAGACTTATTTCTATTTAAAATGTTTTTCGATATTTCTTTTCTATATATTCTGCAAGAAAGTTGTCATTTTGCACAGAACCATTTTACAATAGAAGCGTTACCGCCTGTTTAACAAAATTTTAGTTCACTATTAAATAACTTTTCCTGTTAAATGATTATATATTACGTGGTAGGAATATTTTACTTTAAAAATATATAAAAAAGAAATATATTCAAACAACGAAAAGGCTCTGTAAAACTCCTTCCATACTTTAAGTTAATACAATTTTTAGCAGCTTATTCAGTCGATATATTTCGTTGAATATACTTCTTAAACTAACGCAAAATTTAAACAGCACGTATATTTGAAATCTAACTTTAATTTTATCAACTTGTAAGATTTAAGCCAATTTTGTATTTTCAACAAATAAAAAACTATTTGACCTTTTTTTTTTGATATGCACTAATATTTGTCACAGTTCGGCAAACATTTAATCGATTTTAATTTCAATGGACCTTAGTGACAACATCGTTTAAAAATTTTAATTAAGTAGACGTTACACTGCACTATCATCTATTTAAAATTCAGACGATCATCTTCCGATTTGAATAGTGAAATGACGTTCAGTACACACCTGTTGAAAGTTAAATGTACACAATCATAATTTCTTTCAAATTTAAAAGTAGATAATAGCAATTCTTTGGCAAATAATTTTATTTTAGGTACACTGCGTGTGCTCTAAGCAAACAAAGCAAAGAATTCGATATGCATCCATTAACTATGCGATGTCGGCAATTCAACCAATAGTGTTCGATACTTATCATTCTCCACACTCCAACTATTCCTTCGCCTTGTTTTCTAAGAGCATGAGCATTGTACTAGAGATCAAAGAGCTCATACTTACTCGTACAGAATTGTCTAGTATTCAGCAACATTTATCTTTTAAACTTGATTATAAAATACAAATTTTTTTCTTAGAAACAGAATTAGAAATTAAACGCACAAATCGAATTTACAAAATACTCACTGCTTTATACTTTGTATTAACGGATTTAGGCCTAAAATAATAAGTTATGACATGATTTAGAAAACACTCTGTACACAGAATGTTCCGATTTATAGGTGCACACGTCATTAATATAATAAGCAAAAAACAAATGAAGTTCAAATATGTTTTAAATATTCCTAAGACAGTGCATATTTATAACTGTAATTTTTTAAAAATTGTATAAGCATTGAAATCTAATAAAACGAGATTCTACTTCCCTCAAAATATCCCTGAACCGATTTTTGTAAAAATCTATTCGTTTTTAAAACAAGTTTAATACGTGATAGTTTCTGTCCACGACACATTTTGTATCCTTCCTTTTTTATCACTTTTTTCTAAATTATGGTTTACACTTCTTGTAGCTGTAGCTTAAAACATGTCATGTCATGATCACACGTTAATATTTCTTGTCGCGGGACGATACATTATTCTTACGTATTGTCTTGACGTTTAAACGTATTTGAATAAAGATAGAACCTAAAATTATTCAATATCAGATAACACAATGTTGACAATGTTTAGTACCTATAGTGAAGTATTTCTGTCAGCAATAAACGCCAGCAGTATTCCCTAAAAACCGTAGCTTTATAGCACAAATAAAATTTATGATCCACAATTGTCAATATTTTTCAATTATATTTTTTACATTATTACTTAAATGGGTATTTCTGCCACACAAGACAAAGGAAGAAATTTCAAATAAAATGACTCCTTGAACCAAAAAGATTAATTTTACAAATTTAGTTTTTCTGATCCACAAATATCTCATGCTATGAACACTTCTCTGTCCTCTGTTTTCATTCCCAAACTCTGTGAGATTTTTATTCGACTCAAGTTGATTGAAGTTTTGACAAAGAATATTAACGTATATTACGAATATATTCGTTCGTAATATACGTTAACATTCCTTGGTTTTAACTTACATACTAATCTGTAGTCTGTAAATACTATGAAAGCATAACTTGTTTGGCACTAGAAGAAATAAACTTTCTAACTAATGATACTATGGAAAACAACTGTAATTCAATGCTGGACACAGTAGATCATGTACATCGCAAAGTGGCTGCTTCGCTGCTTCCTGCTATGTCACTATAAAGTATAATTAAAAATTAAAATATTAAAAAATTTATTGACTAGACTAGTGCGTTCATAATTAGCTGTATTTGTTTTGGTCATTTTCGTTAATTCACTTTCAGTAGAGTTCTGACCAAGTTCATTTTTTTTAAACAATTGAACAAACCAAAATATGACCAAAATCAGTTCCCCCCTTTCAGATCTAACCTAGCCTAATGTCGTGGTTAGTAAGTGAACAAGATAACCGAACAAAACATAACCAACAAATAATAATCATAAATCTAAATAATAAAAATAAGGCGTTGATAATGGATATGGATTCATCTGAAGAAGATATGTTGATTTCAAGTATGTTAGGCTCAATATGATTGACAACAACGACCTAATTAAACTAAAATTGAATAGACGTCAAAAGTCAAAATTTAAAATGGAGTAGACGTGTGTTTTGTTTAACCTAGTTAGTTCAAATCTGTCACTTCTAGTTTGATCAATTTGACCACTCAACTAATCAAGTGGTAAAACAAATACAGCTAATACCTACACATTAGTAACTCATTCTTTATGCCAGTAGATACAGAGTAATTCTTCGTCAGTAGATACAACGTAACGCTTTATACTAGTAGGTATAAATGTTCTATACTAGTAGATACAGAATAATGCTTCGTCCCCAGTAGGCACTATGAATGACATTTAGGTTATGAGCGTATGACATATTTGTAAGTTAAATCGTTAAATTCATCGATTTGATGGCATATGAATTGAATGTACGAAGGATAAGAAGCCCAAAATGTAAAATGAGATTAAATAACTCCGCATCATGTGACTTACGGCATTTGCAGACTTATCACACTATTTGTTATATCCAAATCCATTACATGATAGTGTTAGCGAGTATTTTTACATATAGATTCGACAGTAATTTTTTCAATTGTTGTGTTACTACCAAAAAAGAGTCAATTTCCTAATCAGAAATAGATTCTTTTTAAATCAGTGTGGCTCAATATGTACGTGTCACGTGATTTAGGGCAAATCGCTGCCGCAGTTCATGTTAGGACAACTATAATGCACAGCTTTGGCTTCATCCATAGTATACTGTCACATCTATGGTTAAATTATTGTCTGCTGCCGACACCAAAATAGAAGTTATGAAAATTCATTTCCGAGTGATCAGATTCCTAGTTCCGAGCTTATTATTTTTATGGTTATAGACAAAGAGAACGACACAAAGCAAGTTAATTTTCATAAACCCTTATTTGGTACGCTTTTAATTAAAATAATGTAATAGATATTTGTGCAAAACGTGGTGACTGTTAACATGTGTGATCATTTCTTAAGCTTTAGTCTATAACAAAAAAAAATTGCAGTGAACCATTTTTTAATAAATATTTAAACGTCATAATTTTTACGTATTAACGACCTTATGCAACTTATAAAGCAGAGTACGGTGTATAAAGTCCATTTGTTAAGAGGTATTTAATTTCTTAAAAATAAATGCCACTGAATTTCCTCTTTCCTCTGTAAAGTGAATATTGTCCGTGAAAAAAACAATTAACTTTTTATAACACTTTTTTAATAATACTACATTAAAATATTTTTAGTGTCTTAGACATGATACGATAAAAATGTAAAAATAAATACAAAATTGGTCAGTAAAAATGCCTAGTCCTAACAAAAAAAATTATCGGGCATAACCTCACTTTCCCCTAAAATTTAAAATATCACACAACAGCAATAAACGATATGAAAAAATTTCGACAATCACTTTACAAATAACATTTGTATCTCATAACCGCCCAATTACAAACGAATCGATCTACGATCCCAACTTTTAAAACTTAACAAGTTAAATAACCTGACAACAAAATCCTACCCCTTTCAAATGAATAAATTCAACTTTTTTAAGTTATTTGGAATTTTTTCCGTCTTCGATGAAAAAGAAACGAATTCGCTCTTACTCCTTTCACAGAAAAGAAGGGCATTTGCTCAAAATCTTTTATACGTTCTCCCTCGGGTTACGCAACGACGATGGAAGGAGTCTTGCAAATGCGAAATTTACAATTCTGAAAAGCGTGATGAACACATGGCATTATGATGGTGGTGTATCGCGAAGGGACCCAGGGGGGACGTTTCCTCATAGTATAACGCAACATCTACAGTACCTTTGGCGCGAACTTCCCGCGGTGGGGGGTGGAGTAACGGGTGCAAAGTAAGCGTGTACCTTTATGTTGGGTAGGTGGTTCTGAAACGAAAAGCGCGCTTATAAGAAGGTCAAGAATATATTATCTAAGTTGAAATATTTTTTTTAACAGGGTATAGAATTCATAAAAATAAGTAATTTTTCCAAATATCAGGATGTTTTTTTCAAGTTGGAAATTTCCTTTAAAGGAACACTGTATCTGATGCTGCTGAATTAAGTTAACAAATGTGTGGCATCAAGTGATTATTTTGATTCTTTGATTCTTCTTGATTTTTTTCACATATAAGATGCTACAACTGCACTTTGTCGACATTCCCCGTAATTTAAAAGCTACACTGTTGAACTAATTAACAAGTATTCATGGCCTGTGATTTTTTAATGGCAATTTTTACAAATATCGTAATATAAAAGCATATGTACAAGTTTGCTTTTTTCATAAACAAGTGCCATCGTTTAAAAAATGCAAAGAACAAAAAACCACAATATTGCATGAACTCAACACTAGACCGGATTTTTCATAGTAAATTTATGTCTAATAAGAATGTCTTAAATTTTGTAAAACTTTAAATTATTAATAACTTCGTTATTTTGCAATTGCTATACAGGGTGTTAATTAAGTAAGTAGATAAACCTTAAGGGGTGATTATTTGAGTGCTGAAATAAAAAAAAATCACTTTTTTTCTAAAATATATCTGAAGGTGATTTGTTTTTTATTTAAATGCCTTGTATCTTGAAAATACTCGAAGATAACATTCTTTCAAAGTTTGCCCTCGTATTTAATTAACGTCCTATATGTGACTTTTGGTAAAATTACTTATTTTTCCATGTTCTGACGCATCAATAATACTCACTCTCAATCTCCTAATTCCAACCCTCGTGATGAGTTGGCAATCATACAGTTCCACCTGCTGCAGATTATGGCACGACGTAAGGTGTTCTAGAGAAGCGTCCGTAATGAGCGGGCAGTTATCTAACTCGAGAACGGTTAAATTCTCTGCCGCACACGGTGACATGGACAAATGTCGTATGCCTTCGTCGGTTATTAATTCACAATGTGATAAAGTCTAAAAATATATTTTGTCTTAGTTTTCCGAATGCAATACAAAGTTTAATAATTAAGTTTTCACATCAATTAAACTGTAGTAAATAGGTTTTTCATTTAATAATTTTTAGTAACTTTTTACCCAAATGCTGGCAACGTTTAGTAATTCTTGTCTTTATTGTTTAATATTTCACTAGGAAGGGATGAATTTGAAATTAATATTTGAACAAACAAAATGAATCCCAATAGCAATTAAACATAATAAAGTACTGGTCACCTTGAGAAAATTGGCAACGCTGCTTAAGATACTGTTACGCTATTAAATGCATCTCATGGTACTTACTAAATATTCAATCCTAGGACACCCCATCGCTAAGTGAATTAACGTTGCATCTGTTATAAGAACACATTCGTCTAGGTCCATTTTTTCTAGGTATCTACAACTCTGACAAAAATAACCGACATCAACACAGAGATAAAACAGAGAATAAAGATTATCAAAGTAGTTCCAACACTATATTCAATTAAATAGATATCATGTTCCTATGGAACATATTTCCCCATTTGTATTCAATCGACACTTTTAACTTTACCATTATTTTGTTCGTTTTAATTTATAGATAAATAATTTAAATAAAACGTGTAGCTATAAAGTACTCACTCTTGCCAAGGCCTGGAAAGCTGCATCTGTGAACTGTGTGCATCCGGCTACTTCAAGTGTGGACAACAGAGGGCACTGTTGCGCTAGAGCTATCAGGGCTACATCGGTCAGAGCCGAGCATCCAGAGAGACACAAGTAATGTAACTTTGGACACTTTTCTGCCAGCGATTGCACTGCTTCATCCCTTATATTCTAAGAAAATTTAACAAATGAAAAATATATTTGACTGAGTAGATAAAAAAAATTACTTCAGACAAATTTTTATATAAAGGGCATCTCAAGTGGACAAACAAAACCATAGTCTGCCAAATCAGGGTGCCTTGGAACATCTAGTCTGTTATACTTGAAGAGATAAGTTCGAATTACCGATATTTTCGAATTACTGGATAGTAAATATGTACATATGTAAATATGTTTATGTACATATTAGGGTGGCCCAAAAAAAAACTAATTTTTTTTTGTGTCTCGTGAAAATATGTTAGTTTATCATGTTTTAAGAGCCCCCTCAAAAAATCAGCTCAATAAAACTTAAATTTTAAAAAATTTAAAAATTATAAATATTTGACAGTGCAGTAGTAAATTTTGCCTCGAGAAATTTTGAAAATGTCTCGTGATTTATTTCTATTCTTTTGTTCATCAAATTCAATAAAAAAAATATTAGTCCGTTGATATTTATTTTTAGAGGTCTCGAAAACATTTTAGGTACACTACTTTGAAAGATAAAATAATTAGAAATTAAAATATTGATTTGAAATTTTCAGAATCGAGATTTTGTTCAACCTAGAAAATGATAAAATAACGAGAAAAAAATTAAAAAAAAAATTCAATTTTTGACAATTTTGGAAATTTTTAAAAATCTTGAGCGACCTCTAAAAAAATTTTTTTAGCTGATTTTTTGAGGGGACTCTTAAAACATGATGAACTAACATATTTTCACAAGAGACACGAAAAAAAATATTAGTTTTTTTTTGGACAATCCTAGTACATAAACATATGAATTAAATTTTATGTGTAACTGAGAAGGCAAAAAATTCATTTCACATTTGGATTCAACGATTTCAACAATCTCAAAATTGTTTATAGCAATATCATTCCAATTGTCATGTTGAATCCACTATTTTGATTATTGTAATTCTGCTATAATGAGTTTTGTAATAAAAATTAGCTCGTGATGTAACATAACTTTACAGGGTATAACCGTATATTTCGTACGTTTAGGTTAGGATATCTCGTAAAACATGATTAGATATCAGTGCAAAATGCTTCAGAAACGTAAACTCTAGTTCCCAATTTAAAATTTTATCAGTCTGTACTATCGAAAAGACCACAGCGATCTCTAGCGCATGAATTTAAAGTATCCTTATGTAACGTGACGTCTTAGGCATAAAATAAAATTTCAAATTAAAATATGAAAAAAAATTACCAATTTAATAAATCCCTTCACCAAAAATATTGAAAAAACACATTTTTAAAACATGTTTCAATTTTCTTTGCATTTGAAGGAAATTACCCCATTGTAGTTTTAAAAATATATACTTTATTATTAGCTCCGACATTTTTTACTGTTTTATAAAGAAATGAGCTAATTCACATAAATTAAAAATTTGTTTTGCAAAAAATATAAAAAGTTAACCTTTATTAGGGTCTATTCTGTAAGAGGAATGTTAAATTTTAATGTTATTTTTAGGTTTGTATTCTGTATGAAATATATGGTTAGTTTTAACAGTGAAATGGTATTCTGTATGAATTTTTTGGGTTAAATTTTAACCATTTACGGTAAATTTAGACGTTAAAAAGTTAATTTTTAAAGGTTCCTAAATGGGTGCTGTTAAAACTAGTTTTTTTTTGTATAAATTGAAATCTGAAGAGTTAAAATATGGTATTCAATGCATTTTTTCACCTGGTACTTGTTGAAATTTACAAGAATAGAAAAATGAAAAATTCATGTAACTATTAAAATGAGGTAAGATAATCCGATTGTCTATTTCCTTCCAAAAGAGGAAACAGACTATGTCAGAGGCAACTTCGTGATAACAGTAATTCTTTCCAGTGGCCAGACGTAACTTTTTGAAAGTTGTTTCGTCTTAATGAACATTCTTGTCAGCAACTAATCAATAGCTTAACTGTATACTTAAATCAATCAATCATGTATCAAATAATGGCAACCAGAATTTCTCCACATGTTCAAGTTTTAATAGTTTTGAATTTTTTTGGACAAAGAAATTATCAGCTCTGTTACTCAGTTCATCAGTTCATCACGCATGCAATTTTTCAGTGAGCCAACCTGCAGTAAGCAGATGTGTAGCTGAAATCTCAAACGCAATAACGTTTTTTTTTATTACCTGACTTGATAAATTTCCCTGCCAACATTAACAAAAGAGAAGAAATAATGAGTGGGTTCAGACTGTTCACACAGAGACATGAATAATAAAAAGTTAGGTTAAATATACTTTGTCTTCTTCTTCTTCCTTGTGAAATTGTTTGAGCGCGTTTGAACGACAATTTCCGAATAACTACGATCGCTTTAACGGACACGCTAAAATTTTAACTGTTAACTAGTTTGTTAAAAAGAATTTTACAGAATAGAGGAAAAATTTAACCCAGGGGGTTACATAATAGACCCTATAATAGAGTAAAAAATACCCTACTGCATATTATCAGGTCTGCGACTTAATTGTGAGGGATTTTCAATAGATGGCGTAACTTATGCAATATTGCATTGGACACTTCCGTAACTATATTTAAGCTCTGCTAAGTCAAAGCTCTGTCATTAGGCTTTACTTTTTATTACTGCTGTGTACTACGAGCAGCTGCTTCAACCGAATGAAACCGTCACTGGTGAATGCTACTGAACACGATGCGTTTGAGCCGTGCATTGAAGGAAAAATGGCTTCAATTCGAGCAAAGGCACCTCCAATCTTATGAAGATACGAGAAATTGAATCGATTGGTGGATAGCATTAAAAGATGAGTTGTTCTTTCGACGCATAATATGTATGGTGCCAGAAAAATGGGAAAAAGTAGCGGCTAATGATGGAAAATAAAAATGAATACAATTTTTCCCTTCAATTTACAAAAAAAATCCCTCAAAATTAATTCACTGTCCTAGTAAAAATAAACCAAGTATGAAACAATGAATGACTTACATTGCAACCCTGCAAATTGACTACTTCCAACTGGTGGCAAAACCGCGCCAGACAAATCACAGCTCTCGAAGTAATCTGCTTACATCCCTTACTAATGAAACTTTTAAGCCTGGGACAACCCCTGGCGAGCGCCTCCACCCCGTTCTCCGTGATATTACTGCACCAACTTATATTAATATGCGTCAGATTCTGACACCCGTCGCTAAGCGCCTTCAGAGAGTTGTCTGTTATCGCGGCGCAACCGTCTAAATTCAACTTCTGCAGCTTGGAACAGTGCCTGGAAAAGGCGTTACAAGTGGAATCGGTTAATTTCTTACAGCCATTCAAATTCAAATCCTCTACGTTTGGGCAGAGTTGAGCTAACGTTTTCATTGAGCCGTCCGCTATGGACTGACAACCCCTGAGGGAGAGCTGACGCAGGAAGCCTACGCATCTGCGGGATATGTTTTCTATTATTGGGCCCTGGAAATTTAAACTGAAATATCTGTACGGGAGAAAAATATACATTTTTACCTCTACGTCCCTCTGAAAATCAAAGAGATCAATTCGTTGCCAATTTGAGCCGTCTAAGGCTAAAATATTCCACGCCTTCGATACCTGCGCACACCTGCAGAGAGAAACTACATCTAAGTAGGAAAATATTCGTAATAGTAACTCTTTCGGTAATTTCTTGTTGATTGGAGCTTCATCTTCTGCAAACACTTTGTTTAACTGGAACAAATAATTTCTAATTGAAGAATAATAATCGGTAATGAACCATTACTCTTAAAGAAAGTGTCATTTAATTGCATACACAAATTAATAAGTATTTTAGAAAGATGTAAGATCACAACACTGTAAATACTTCTTCGAAATGTTATAAACTGCAGCATAAAGATGCAAGTGAGAACTTAAAGCTTAGAAATCATGTCCCGTTCAATACACACAAGTTCCACAACACATTAATGTAATCAAAAAGCTGTCTATTAATTCCATAACTAAAATGCAATATAAACAGATACTTAAGCTTTTAATAACCAATATAGGCTGATTATTAAAAAAATGAGAACATAACATCATTAAACTAGCGCAAAATACACACTTCTATCAAAATTAACACACCGCTTAAAATGAATAGGCTCCGCAATAATTTTTCTGTCCCAAAATTCAAAATAGTACCCCAGCTAAAATGTCTACTTGAAATACTTGAATCTAAGTGTCAAGTTATTGTTAATTAAAATGCCCAGTTAAATTGAAGCACCAGTTTATACACAATATAACAATAAAAAAACAGTGAACTGAAAATAAAAAACTAAAACTAAAATAAAGAAAAATAATTGTAATAACGGTACCACATCGATGACTGACACTCGAAACCGGAATTTCTTGATCAATGTAAATTCCATAGTTCTCTGGACACATTTTCAATGTCATACAGGAAGGCAGATAGGGGTTGATGATTTCTGACTGTTTGCCTAGACTGTCACTGATTATCTTACTATCACTGGTAGGTCTTAAATTACCAAATTTTTAAATAAATTGGTGTGCTTTAACTGTGTATCTCATTTAATAACAGAGATAATTATATGATAATGATAATGGATCTATCCGCAGATTCCCCTATACATCGATACCATTGATTTATAATGTAAGTAGTAAGATTAGATGGCGCTAGTGCTGCTATAAATATGATGCTTGTTTCTGTTCTTTTTTTTAATTAAATACACGTTTAAAATAGAAACTTAAAGAAAAATTTATAAGTATCATAACAAGAATAAACATATTAAAAAAATATATTAAAATAAAATAATCAAAATCAAATTTATGGTTTGCTAGAAAATCAACTTTGAAATAATTGGGGCCTCATTTCAATGTGTGTTAATTTGCGAGTGAAGTATATTTAGTAAATTTACAACTAGTACAGAAAAATAGAAACAACTGTCAGATAACAAACCTGCTGTTTAACAGAGTCTACGGCCATTTTGGGTGTGCAATTTTCTCTACTAGACTTTCTAGAGTGCTTTTTATTGCGCCACCAGTGGCGCTGATTAAAAGATGTTTCGTCATCTATTTCTCTATTCTCTTCTCTAGCCGATGATGTACCAAGAGACTAACAGAAAATAACAAAACCAAAATAAAACCATTCAATAACTAAATAAAAAGAAAAACAAATTAAAACCCTATGATTTGTTCAAGAAAAAGGGAAAATAAAAGTACAGTACAATCTTGATAATCCGAACTATTTGGGAAGATTTGTGTCGTTTATCAACAATTTTTTTTTAATAAAATTAACATTTATTGTTAAATATCCAAAAATAGTAAATCAAAACTTTATTCTGTTACAACATATTTTCTTTCTGATATAATATGTATGTTCATATGTACCTACATATACAGACCCCAATTTTTCAGATCTGTAGAGGTTTTTATCTGGATTATAGACATTATGCCCGAATTAAAGAGAAGCGAATTTCAATTGACAAACTGTCGGAATTACAATTGATATCTGAATTAAAGTGTGTCTACATCATCGAAATTGTACTGTAATCTAATGTTTTTTAGCAGATTAAAAGTTTCCATTCAAAAACATTTCTAAGAATATAAAAGAAATTAAAAATTATGAAAAAAATAAAACATTTCTGTCATAAATTGTACCTACATTTTAAATTTTTCTTAAACTGGCGTTCAATTTATTTAAAAAAAAAACATGAAAAACAAAAATTTTAATAACCTGTTCTTGTTAAATAAAACAATTTTAAATTTTGATACAGTGGTTAAAAGCACTTAAAAAAAAATGAAAATAAAAATATAAGAGCTGGAATGTTTTTACTTTGTTGTCCTGTTGCTGATACTAGAAGTACCTACCAATTAATAATAATCGGAGATAATTGGGTACCTTGTCAAATAGGTATGAATATGTAAATATACTATATTTTGTTTACTAATGACTTCAGAAAACAGAACTGTAGGTAGATATGTAGATCTATACCTACATAATTTTGTCTTTTCGAATATCTCAAAAATACAAAAAAAAATCAGTTTTTCACTTACATCCAGCAAATACGATCTAAGATTTTTGGAACACACGATTCGTTATACAAAAAAAAATATCTGAAACCTTTGTTAAAAATATCTCTACATTGAAAGTATAGTGTTTAACTCAATATCCGCACATTGTATAAAAATTATTCAATATAATTAACTAAAAAAAGCAAAAAGAAAGTGTAGGACATTTTGCTTTATTGTGGAGCGTAGTCAAAACTAGATGGAAAAACTTATAATGAAAATTAAGACGTAGATGTCAATAAACGGCGGACATATTTAGCACGATTAGTACGTCCAAGAGAACAAAGAATTTAAAAATTCAAATATTAGTACAATTGAGAAACACCCCTAAATATAGAATGTGGACTTTTCTGCAGTAATTACCAAAACGCACACTTTAACAATGCACTCTTAACAAAGCCGATAGAACTGAACTTGGAACGAAATTGACATTTATTTCGTGCCTAATCAGCTGTTTTACTTCAAACAGTATAACACCAATAAAAACAGTTCTAGCAGCTTAATTAGCGCACCTTCTAGGTTAAATAACACTTAACTCACCTCGAATTTGTTTCGCCCTGCATAAATCATATTAATGCAGGTTAATAATACCTAACTTTACCAAATTGCTCCGACAAAGTCACTGCACAAACAATATCAAGGAAATGATATCAAGACTGTTAGTACAACGTCCTTGGAACGGCTCGGTCTTTACGAATAGAATTGCACGAATTTGTTTATGAGCCCTCCTATTGGTCGCGGTCCCTTCAAAACAAAAACAACTCCGCTGCAACGTCTGCCTGTCGAGACGTCCTGAAAGGTGAACGAACACAAAATGCAATGTCCTGACTACAAAAAGAGTTAACGTGTCTGCTGAAAAGTACATCATCCATCTCTCAGGATAAAAATTTCAGTAGACTGTATTTTACTTCTGTCAGGCTCTGAATTTTCTATTAGTAAATAGGTTTCTGTTCCTAATAAAAAGTAAAAAATTCCCTACCTAGGTACCTACTTAGATATTTGAACCATTAGCTCGTTAAAATCATTGGTTTTATAAGCTAATAGCTAATAAATGCATAAGTAGGTACATCTAGCAGTTAAAATAATTTTAATGCTAATTTTAAAAAAGCAAAGAACAAAAATAGGTACCTATAGTGTTTTTACTATCTGTGAAAGAGACCAAGANGTACATCTAGCAGTTAAAATAATTTTAATGCTAATTTTAAGAAAGCAAAGAACAAAAATAGGTACCTATAGTGTTTTTACTATCTGTGAAAGAGACCAATCGGTAGGTACATTTATTGTCATGAATTATTGTAGATAAAAGTCTATTTTTATAAAATCAAGATACCTATGTATATACCTAGGTAGATTAGATATTGTACCTACCTATTTATGGTTAAGAAGTCGTCAATCCATCATGAATAAAAGTTTTTTTTAAACGACAATTGTAAAAATTAAGAATTTAAAGAAAGAAATTCTGTCTGCAGAGGCTTGCAAAAATTATAATATTCATGTATTTTATGAATCGAAATACCTACTACTTATGTACCTAGTTGTTTTTTGGACGTACAGATCTAGTAAACAGTTTAATTACCTCACCCTGTATGTACGTAAAAAATACATATTTCCGATTATTACCACCAATTTGTTAGGGGCATTTTAGGGTATAGTGATAGTGGCATATATAATAGGTAGGTAGGTAATAGGTATATACAATTTTACAATTTTACTACCTACAGATTTCTCTTTATAATTTAGCAGGTAGATGATCGAGGTATATACAGGGTGTTCCTCAATAAGTGTCGCAACGGAAAACTGTAAATTCCTCTTAAAAAAAGAAACATTTTTTTCCTGTTCCATTTTCCTCTCCGGGCTTTCGTTTTCGAGATACACGGTGTCAAAACTTTATTTTTTTTTTAGTTTTTCGCCAATATCTTAGGAATCGTTTGAACTACAGGACTGAGCTTTTGTACACACGTTACCACTATTAATAGCTACTTTTTCGCACACTTCTCGAATTCATTGGACGTGCCAGTGGTGAAGATTTTAAGGTATCGTAAGGGTTTTTCCCCCCTAAATTTTACGCCACTGGAAAAATTGACTTTTAACAGCAAATTCTAAAGCGCCAATGAATTTTACACAATAAGAGTTCTCTTGGTTCATTGCTCTAAAGTCAACCGTTTTCAAGAAAAATGACTTTATGAACAAAAGCAAACATTTTGCTAACGTTTCGAAAATCTTTTGTAATTCAAAAAATAGGTAGTAATAATTAACAATTTTAACGAAATTTAACAACAGATAGGATTTTAACTTTTTTTTATCAATTTGGCGAGTAAAATTTACAGAAACTGTTCAAAATTACGTCCGTTGGCTTGAATGCACGCATTACATCTTCTAATCATGTTTCTTTCTGCCGCTGCGG